CTAGTTTAATTATAACTTACGGCTTACGTTCGGCGATTAGATCGGTGATATATTGGCCTTTTTCCTAGCTAACGATTATTAAGTGGTAGGTCTTTCCGAACTCGTGAATTAGATTTAGCACCTTCTACGGATTACCTTCGATGGTATCTCGCTCGGGGTGCTCGTAGACCTAGTGTAAAAGCTTGAGCTTACGGCCTTCTTCGCGCTATTGTATTAGTTAGTCTATGAACTAAGAGTGAGTTATATTTACTCACGGAAAGCCTAGTATTGGGATCGATAGTAGTCGCTATAGCTAATCTGCTGCTGGATACTAGCTCGGTCGTGAGCTAGGCGTCGTGAGGGGAAGATAGTCTAGGTACTCTTAGAGTGCGGGAGGTGCGGGTTTTTAAGACCCGCTAGCGGGATCTATTGGGTTTAGGTCGTAAACGGGTACTGCGGAAGTTCATTGGTTTAGGCTAAGGCTATTAAGTATTGGGACCCTAACGATATTTTCTCCGAAGACTGCCCGATCGGAATATAAACGCTGCGGGATTAGCTGATAACGCCTAAGGAAGATACCGAAATAGGATTTCGACACTAAACTTATCGCGGACGAAGTGGGTGGTACCTTCCCGGAAATATAGAGTAGGCTGAGCGAGCTACCGGTGTCGGCACGGAAAACCTGCTGCTGTCGTATAGTGCGAGGATGCCGCCGTTCCTCTAGAGGTAGATATCTGTTTGGCTAGTCTCGCTATCGGCTGTGGAGACTAGGGACCGGTAGTACGGACTCTTGTTACCGTTGTCTATTAATACTAGCTGTAGATGTTATACTATTAGAAAAGAACCTCTATCTGGTCTCGGCCTAGTCGCCTAACTGGGTTAACGGGAACGAGTGCCGATCAATTAAGAGTTCCGGATAACCAATTTTCTCGTTTTGGCCATGCTAGACTCTGTACTAGACTTGGTTCAGATAACCCACCCACTTGTACTCACGCGCTTGAGGTAGTTAGTTGTGTACGGACTAACAAGTGGGTTAGCTAGCTGGCTCTTCACGTCTACACTGCTATGATGATCGTAGAGGTATTTTGCTTTTGAACCTGTCTGCCATACGCTATATTCTTAGTGTTAAACACTAGGGATTATCTCTCGCCTAGATGTCTTCCGACGAGATTACGCACTCGTGCAATCCTATTATCGCTCCGGAAAAATGCGGCCACGAAGGGTATATCTAAGATAGGATAGTCCTGTCTCGTGTTTTGCGGGCTTAGCAAGTAGGTCTGTTTTGCGAGGGAGCTTGAATACGGCAAAAATCGTGGATCATCCAACTTCTCACTCTGAAGCGTTGTCCTGGATAGTAGGACCTCTATGGGATATAATGGGACTTTTTACGACAGAATCCGACGGGGTTGATGTCCGGGCGTCACATTGCGAATTGCCAGGGGTCTGCCTCTTCTTCCATACGTAGTCTTCACCTCTCTAGTGCGTCCCTACTCTCTAGTGCTATTCCAGTCCTACACTCCAGATACTGCAGTCTTCAAAAAATGCTGCAAATAATCAGATATAGGGTGCCGGAAAGAGTAGTGCAGAGCACGTCACTGTGATCCCGGCTCTCTATGCCGAGAATTAGGGCTCCGAACGGAATATGACTATTCATGGATATTCATGGATATTTGCGAATATGAATAATATGAATTGTATAATATGAATATGAGTAAGAGGTTTATTCATATTGCATTATTTATGAATATTCATGAATGGTCATATTTATTCATACACTGAGAGAGCATACATTACCGTTCATGCTGTTACGTCTCAATACAGCAACCCTATTCATGTGTCTAAGACTTTATCACAAATGCGTTCACCATCTCTAAGATATCACATTCCCATAAATCTTAATATTATCACAATCACTTTTTTGGAATGCTATTTTTGATACTGTCCCTTCAGTAGCATAAGCCATCGGATATCAGAGTTGACAGCCTGATTCTCAAGTAGTAGGCAGTTTTTCTGTCCTATTGAAGAAGGAATATGGCGCTGAAACTCGGACTCGGGTCGGCTGGTATAGAGAAGCTGGATGTGGAAGAAGTCTGGATTAGATAGCACGTCCTTGACCCACATGAGGACATCATCCCTTGTTGTTGATTCATCCAAGGCGTCCAGAACGATAGAAACCTTTCGCTGGGCTACGAGCATCTTGGAAACAATACCCGAGAGCGCCTTTGTCGCAGGTTGGCCGCTGTCATTCTGGTGTGCTTCAAATAAGGCATCAAGATAAATAGCGGAGCCGACGCCGCCTTGGTAAAGTTGGAAAGCGAGCGACCGCAGCATGCCATCCCATGTCTGCTTTGTGGAGTCACCAAAGTCAAAGAAGAAGCTGAGGATTAGACCGTCGTTTCCATTCGCAAGGTGATCAAGCACAGTCGCACTAAGAACCGTCTTTCCACATCCCACAAGCCCGTGCAGCCATAAATGTCGACGCGACCCCGAGTGCCACGACTTGAAGATGGGGTGTTCTAGGAGCCACGAGCCTGTCCCTTCATGGCGGAGCGTCCTCGCGTAGTTGGCATTTGTAGACGGATCCGGCGGACAAAGCCAGCGCCTGATCCCATCGGTGCGAAGACCAGACCCGATGGAATCAGTTGCAGCTTTAGTTGCAAATGTTGTCTGCTGCACGCTATCAATCTGTCGTTGAACTACTCGCAATCAGGACATATACCAATTTCAAATGTAATACGGTCCCGTATATTTGCTAGCCAAGCTAGTGAACGAAACAAAACTAACCTAACTGAAGCACTTCCAGTGCCCTCTTAGTTTCTTTGACCTCCGCAGCTGGCACGTACGCCAGAAGCTCCTTGGTATACGCAGCGGCGGTCGCCGAGGCATAGCGTTGCCATCGATCGTTCTTATGAGAATCGGCGTAGTCGCAAATCCCTCGGATCACAAGACAGGGAAAGTGGTTCATCAGGCCGGCTGCTTCCATCTCAAAGCAGATGCAATCCTCGCCGATGTCATTAAGAGAATAGGATTTTGAAGATGGCTATCGAGGATGGAGTCTTCAAGGCCGCTATAGAAGTAGGCTTAAGGTGCAAACTAGTATTGACTTGCGGAACTGGCTGTGCCCCGTGAAGGATGCGGATGAGGATCGAAGGGGATGCAAGGTAGAGGGTCTATGTAGGTAGACATGCTGCCACCTCTACAATGTATTATCAAGCGTGCCCAACTTAGTAATACAAATCAATACCGTACACTAATGGTGCCGCAATCTTGTTCGATAAGGAAAGTGCATGCGTCGTATTCGTACACTAATGGTACCGCAAGTTTCTCTAGTTTTAGTATATGAAAACTCCGAGACTTCACCGACAGTGCAGACACTCTCCTTGCAGGTTTACAAAACTTCAAATTACTATTTTAATTCCGAAGTTCTATTGATGTACAGTGACGAAGGTGAGAGCCACAGTCTGCAATTGCCTTGGCGTTACAGCATCCAAGCATAGTTGAGGATGACAAAATCAGTCATCAAAGAAACAAAAGTGTTCAATGGGGCGTCCGAGCACGTCGCCAAATAATCAGGTTTGGCAACGCGTTAGAGACATTTATACATCGGCGAAACAATGACATAATAACTAGGTCCTCGGTACACCATCTGCATTGGATTTTTGTATACCGGGTATAGTCGTTGTATGCGCAAAAACCATATTAATTCCCCGATGGGTTATGCTTTGGAGTGGAGGTAATCTGCCTGGTCAGGTCTTCCGGAGCATGGTGGGTACTGACTGCAATGGCAGTCCGGTGAGATTTTCAGGATGCGACTCGGGTTGCTTGTGGGGTTTCAACCCGGGGTCCCCTCTGCCGCCGGAGTCTGCTCCAGGAACCGAACTCCTCCGCTCGACCGGCAGCGTGGCTAGCGCACAGATCGGATTAGATCTCGGGGTTTCTTCGTTGCTATCCTCCCTCAAGTGCCCCGATGCTGAATGCTAACTTGTTCCCCGGGAAATGTACTATGAGCCGAAGAAATTCCGAAGATCCAATGATTCTTTACCCCGTAGTCTTCATGCACACGTCTGCGCGCCAGTGTATAGGGTGACAGGCTGGGTTTCTCCGAATAAACTCAGTACGGTAGTCTGATACGGGTCCTCGGGGGCTTGGCGAATGTTTTCAAGATTTACTCCCTTCTTGTTGAAAGCCTACCACCCACGGAGAACGACATCTGAGTGGCCGAGGCTCGGAGAAATTTACTAACTGCCAGCGGAGTGAGAAGCGGCGCACTTGGCTATCCAAGGTTTGATGACGTCAATTCCATCTAGACGGGGTCCCCCTGGGAAGTGGAGAATCCGGAGAATGCCCAGTATCCTAAGGCTCGAAGCGACTGGCTCACATATAAAAATGGCCACGCCGTACCGGAACAGGCGCTATTTTCATATAGCGTTGAATCCTCAATCACTACACAATGGTTCATATCGTCAAGGCCCTTGCGGTAGGTCTTTTTGCGGGTATCGCAAATGCCTTTAACTATGACCAGCCCTACCGTGGTCAATACCATTTCTCGCCTCAGGAGAATTGGATGAACGATCCAAGTGGTCTCTTATACCATGATGGGATGTACCATCTGTTCTACCAGTACAACCCCGGCGGAACTCAGTGGGGGAATCTGTCTTGGGGCCATGCCACTAGCAAGGATCTCACACACTGGGAGGAGCAGCCCGTGGCCCTCCTCGCCCGGGGATATGGTGATAACGTCACCGAGATGTACTTCACTGGAAGTGCGGTCGTTGATGTGAACAATACCAGTGGCTTTGGGAAGGACGGCAAGATCCCCTTAGTCGCTATGTACACTTCCTATGTACGTCAATCCCACTGGCAAATAAATATCTAGACTGGAAATGACTGACACGATTCCCTATTTTTACAGTACCCCTTTGCACAAACTCTGCCAAGTGGAAAGACTATTCAGGAGAACCAGCAGGCTCAGTCTATTGCCTACAGTCTTGACGATGGTATGACCTGGACCACGTACGATGCCTCCAACCCGGTTATCCAAAATCCGCCCGCCCTGTATCAGGATCAGTATAAGGAATTCCGTGATCCCTTTGTCTTCTGGCATAAGGAATCTGAACAGTGGGTTGTTATCGCCGCTCTGGCAGCAATTCACAAGTTTGTAATTTATACTTCTCACAACCTCAAAGACTGGAACCTGGCAAGTGAATTCGGTCCTTACAACGCGCAAGGCGGTGTCTGGGAGTGCCCTGGCATTTTCCAGCTACCTCTTGATGGAGGAAAATCCTCGAAATGGATCCTCACGGCCGGTCTCAACCCTGGCGGCCCCCCCGGCACAGTTGGCTCTGGAAGCCAGTATTTCGTGGGTACGTTTAACGGAACCACCTTCACCCCAGATGCGGATAGTGTGTACCACGGAAATGTGACTGCCAACTGGATGGACTGGGGCCCAGATTTCTATGCCGCAGCTGGCTACAACGGCCTCCCTAGTGATGCCCACGTCCAGATCGCGTGGATGAACAACTGGCAGTACGGTGCGAAAATTCCCACCGGTACCTGGTATGGTAGTGCGGCTATTCCTCGCAATCTGGCTCTTAAGACAATCGGGGGCAAGGTGGCTCTTGTTCAGCAGCCTAAAGAAGACTGGTCTTCTATCCTAAGCAAGCGCGCGGTATATTCGCACAAATACAATGCCGTGCAGGAAGGGTCTACGAATGTAGGAACCACTGGAGAGACGATCAAGATCAATTTGAGCTTCTCTGCTGCTTCGACGGCTTCGGAATTTGCCGTCGCTATTCGGGGCTCTGCCGACTTTACCGAGCAGACCCTTATCGGTTACGACTTCATCAACAAGCAGGTCTTCATCGATCGCACTAAATCTGGAGATGTGTCGTTTGACGATACCTTTGCGAGCGTTTATCGGGGACCCCTCAAGGCAGGTGTGGATGGTAAGGTGAACCTGAGCATATTTGTCGATCGGTCCAGCGTGGAAGTTTTCGGCGGTCAGGGCGAGACCACCCTGACGGCTCAGATTTTCCCCAGCAGGGATGCGATTAACGCCAAGCTGTTGTCAAGTGGCGGAGCTACTGAGATGGTTAAACTCGATATCTTCAATGTCGCTTCGACTTGGAACTGATAGCGCCTACCGTCTAGAACAAGTTAGCTTGTCAAAGAGACCATGGTACTCAAGCTTGAAAGTGTACGGCTGAGAATCGTATGCAATGTGATTAGGGAAAATAGATTTATCCGACTCTATAATGCTTAACTCATAATTGCGCGTTTGCTACACTTTGTATATTTTGGTTTGTTTAGTGAGCAGAACGACCAAGCTCATAGATAGGATATAAAGCTGATGAATTTCGTACATAAACAATACTTAAGCGGCGGAGAGATATTAAAACGCTTCGGTCTGTGTTAGCTGGAGTTAAGGATAGGGCGGTCGAATGAACAAATTAGATAGCGTGATCTCATATGGAGATTGAGATTATCGGCTGGCCAGCGGTGCCTTACTCAATTGACGAGGACATTCTTATATATGGTAGGATTTGTGTATCCCCATTGTCCGTTAACTCCCAAGTTCCACTGACGAGGCATTGCCTTTTTAAGGATCCCCGTGAATTGCATAGACAACGCAGTGCCCTTGCCGGCCCTTCGAAGAAAAACATTTATTCCAGAGCCAGAGTGTCCAATGATACGATCCTTCCGGGTGCTGAGAGAAGACGGTCTCGTAAGGCCTCTCTTTCATCAACTCCAGCAACGAGGGAAAAGATTTGTTTGACTCTACAAGACTCAACGCCGATTACTAAGAGATTCACAATAGTCGAGTGGCCATGCCAGGAATACCTGGAAATCTCTGAAATCGGCGTGAAATGTTAATTATATGTGGAAGTAGTATTAGCTGTCAGAAATGATGGCTGTTCAAATACAGTGCTCACGTTTCAGGCTGGAGACAAAATCCAGTCCAGTTAGCAGCCACTTTAGGGACAGATTTCAAAGTTTCAGCATCCCATTGATCTTCGAAGAACCGCAGACCTGGGTAATCAAATCATTTACATTCAAATCTCGAGCCCCACTTCTTTCAAGGCCCACATTGCTGATGGTCTCCAATGCTCGTCTAAGAAGACCCCAAATAGAACGTGCGAGATGCAAGCTCCACTCCTCCATCCACCACTGGTGTCTGCAATGATGAAGCAAGAGACAATAGTGTGCTAGGATAACGAGTGACATTGAGTCACGTTCCCTCAACAGGTCCACATACTTGTCTGTGAGGTTAAATGACCATCTCAACGCCAGTTCCACCCTACGGGGTTTGCCCTGGGATATTTCCATCAATTCTGTTAGAGAGCTAATAGCAGAAGCATAGCATGATGTGTCATGAGTGCTGACTTCCTTTCCATAATACTCATTGAAATGGCCTAAACGTGAAAAAGCTTCCTGGACTTTATCAGAAAGGGGCAATATTTTGTTGTCATCCACGCAAATCAGCACGTCTGAAATTCTCCCCTCTTTGACCCAGTGCCATAAGAGCCCTGTCACTTCGCGGAGCCCCCTACATAGATCAAACCCTTGAAGAAGGTCTCGAATGGGGTCATAAGTATCTGCGAATGGGGAACACGGCCCCTTAGCGAACGCTATTTAATAAAGAATGCCGGAAAATACAAACAGGATATTGCTATTTTCAGAGTTGAGCGAAAGAACCTCAGGCCTGAATAGAGCGAGTGCAGAATTCTGGTGCTCTAAGGCAATAGAGAAATAACTCGCCCCGTCACTTCGGTTCTCTGTACGTGCGATGTGAGGCGCAGACAATGCTAGTACTCCGTGAAGCACAAATGGATATGCCAGGCCCTCCATAGGTAAGAGGAATTGGAATACTTCTTCAACCTCTGTTGTGTGTGCTATCGTCGCGTAAGTCGAGGAGCACCAGTGGAGAAGCTGCTCTATGTCGCGAATATTAAGGCCTGAGATTGGTGGAGGATTTGCTGCACTCTCCACCTGCTTATTTGGTATACATGTTTGATCCTGTGGAATATATATCGAGCGTGTCTGGGCGGATGTACGAGGAGGATGGATCGGTAATGAGCAAGGAGAAGACTCTTCGGTATTCGAGCGGGGTGACGTCACGGAAGCTTTAGAGGCGTACTTGCAAACAGTATTTCGGTTCGCGCAATTCGTACATTCAGGGCGGCGCTCATCACACTGCACGTTGTCAGTGATTGAACAAGACACTACATGCGTGGTGCTCTAACAAGTAGAAGATTTGCGTCGTACCTTGACCCTACGCCGTTTGCAAGGAATGCATCCATCGCGAGATTTCCGATGAGACCGTCGTGATGGCATGGCAAAATCGCACCAAAAACAGAAAGCTATGCAGAGAGAAAAAGACCTCGGGGAGCCAAGTGGGACATATATGAGACGTGGCGGGCTGTGCACGCTTGAAATATAACGAAGTGATCGTTCAGTCGAAGCCTCAGTCCTTAATGTAAGTTAGGTTAACTAAGTATTCCACAAGCGAGCTGCGCAGCCCAAAACACGTAGTAAACGCGATGCTATATTTCAACAACCAACGCTTTTATTTGATTTCATTACTTGCCGATAGCAATTGATAAGCATTTTTAGTACCATATATCAATTTTAAATAAATCGAGAACTTGCATTGTTATGGTATCGAAAAATACATCGCTGAACTCTAGAATATATATATATCTCAGTCACTAATTTATTAAACTTCCCTAAACTCTAATAAGTGGCTAGATATCATATAAAAAGCATTAAGCTACAAGAAAACCTCATACAGATAACCGTTGTTGTAATATCATGTTGTAATTATCGCTTTTACTATGTGTTTTGGGCTGCGCAGCTCGCTTGTGGAATACGTTAACTAGTTAAATGAGATCTACATCAGTTACCTAAGCTGCCCCACCTGGATCCAGGCATCAAGATTACCCCTTTCAGCCATGGCTCGGCCTTTCTAATTTTCATGCTTGGTCTGAAAATGCGGGTTCAGCCCTGAAATTACTGCTGAGTAAGCACAAATAGGGGTTCGATTACAAGTTATGGTTATTGCCGACCGATGGATACCAAAAAGAGGTTATTTTGTCTAGTTCAATGGTCTTCACGGCATTGTATGCGTGCTCCCCTATACAGCCCTAAAAGAATGCTTAGCCGAGCATTTTCTGGTAATAAGTGCTTAGCGTGGATCACTTCGGCCAACTAAGACCACCAATTTACCTTATAAAAGACATGAAATACGTTCAAACGATAGGTTCTCGAACGGCGCACTTAACCAGTCCTGACTTCTCGAATATACTCGGACTATGTTTGTATTGCATTGAACGTAAAACCCTTGTCCCCAAACCCAAACAACGGAAAAGAAAGGTAAATAGCATTGATCATATCTCATGGATCAATAACGTCAGACGTGTATGAACTCACGAGTACTTCCCCCGCGGAAGGGAGAGCATTTCACTTGGATGAATGAAATTTAGCAATAGCATGACTGCAAACATCAACAATCCATCGAAAACATATACAGTGACTACGCAAAAGTGTTAACAACGCCTGGCCCCACACCCCCTTGATTATATAAGTTACTGCCGGTCTAAAACCTCCATAAATTCATACTATGGAATCTAATATGCTGTATACCACCCCTGGCTCTCAATGATAGCTTCCACACGGTGTGGCATTGTCTCAGAGAGATGCTCTAAGTGCCGTAGCTCTAATTCATCCCATGCCTGCTGCTCTGTCGCTACCAGTATCTCCTTTGTCGTATCATTGTTACCCATATGGATGAGGTCAGGTCGAAGCTCGTACATCTTAGCTTTTAATAACGCCCAGAGGTTTTCAATTGGGTTCAAATCAGGCGATTGTGGTGGCCATTCCATAACTTCAATGTTCATCTCACGTAAAGCATCCCGAACAACGCGCGCAGTATGTGTAGGTGCATTATCGTGCTGAAAAATAGCCCGTTCATTCGACACCAAGGTAGGTAGGATCCGCCGGTATAACTCTTCAATAATAAGGCCCGTAATACCCGTACGCTCAGCTTCAGGGTCCCCAAACAGCGGGATAAGCCCTGTTCGACGTGTAGCCCCTGAAAAAGCAGCCCAAAACATCTGCTTTACTTGCTTCCCTCGGTGTGGTAATCCTTGACATTGTCCTTCTTTCGGCTGGTCTTTCGGGCGAACAAATGTCCATTCTCGACGGATACCAATCCCACGTTCAACCGTACATTCATCAGACCAGAAAACCCGGGCCCAATCCTCCTTTGTGAAGTGACGATATCGGACAGCCCAGCGGAGACGTTTTAGCGCGTGTTCCTCCGTAAGGTAGGGACGCCAGCTACACCTCCATTTTCGGAGGTTCTCAGCATTCAAGAGGCGTCTTATCGAGTCGATTTTGACTTTATGAGAGACCTCAGCAAGCAGATCTTCGTGGGTAACCCGCGGATTCTCCGAAATGACATCAAGAAGACGTACTTTATCAGTAGTATTCAGCTTTTTAGGTCGACCAAAACGCGGTTTCGAAACGCCATCACGTCTTTCATGTTCTTTCTTGATCGTATAGCGAATTGTTGAGATAGAAATCCACGGATATCTCTGGTGTATCCGCCTATACCCCCAATGAACCGCAGAGTGTAGCTCACAGATCCTTTCACGAAGGGCTGGAGTAAGTTCTGAGCGAGCAGGCATAGTGAGAGAGAAGAGAGTAAGAAGCATATATGAAGAAGGAAAGTGATAAATTGGGGGGGAAACGCGAGATATACGCGCTATATGGAGCCTATATTGTATACCGCGTCACTATCGTATGGCGGTGTAGGTTAAATAGGAAGGCGGTATCTATATGGGGCCAGGGTGTTGTTAAAACTGTAAGAAAACCTCATGGCGGAGCAACGACTATCGTTGAACGCTTTTGCTGCGCCATATCGGAGACAATGCGGCTTCGTGACTTCCGCGAAGCCAGTAATGCTGTCTGTTCACTTGGCAAAGAAAAAGTTTCCTAGGGAATATGGAATCTGGTGGGCGAAAATAGACGACAGTCCACGCTGCCGGGAGTATAGACTATACCTGATGTCAGGTATCAAACATCGCAAGTAGGAAACGCCTCTGCCACTTTTTGGACCGCCAGTATATAGAGGAGTAACATGATAACATGGCAAGACGAAATCCATAATGAAGACGCCCAACAAGTTAGAATAGAGCAAAGAAAAAGAGTGGACCTAATATCCCAATGAAAACTTGCGAAAATCCGATCCGTGACTTTAGGGAGAATACAGTCAGAAGAAAGTAAAGAGCCGTGACGTATATTAAACGCATTTTTCAGATCCTATGTGAAGTCGTTCAAGGAGCCCCAATCATCCCCTCTTGTTGATTCAAGACCAGAGGGCTTGGATTATACACATAGTCTGGATTGTATGAATCCATCATTGACTGATCAGGGGCCGCCCACTGGCCTTGGGAAGTCGCTTGGTCATATGCCGCCGGGATATAGTTTGTTAGTGGGTTCTGGTCGTAGCATTGTCGCATCATTTACGTGTATTGTTGTTGTTGTTGTCGTTGCTGGGAATGGGGATAAGGATGCTGCGTGCGTGGCATGTGTAGCATGTGTGTGGGAGAGGACACCGGCATCAGTACATTCTGAGACGATGTCGCAGGCGCTGCTTCGTGGACTGGTACGGAGACCATCTGGACAAGCTGTGGCGAGTAAAGCTCGTGGGTTGGTGGCCTTGATTGCGAATAATATGGTTGCTGGTCAAGCATATACTGCACATTTGGTAGTGAATATGACACTGGCGTCTGGTGGTAGGAGTGCCCTGAGTTTGCGTCTTCTGATGATGGCCGGGTCAGGCATCCCGGAGGGTGAGAACGGTGTTGGTGTTTGGTGAGGGTGGTCTTGCGACAGAAGCTACAATTTCAACAAACAGTCAGACGACTTCCGACCAAGTCACGTCCATGTTGCTTACCTTCGTTCACATGCGGGCTCATGGCAAATATACAGCCGCTTGCCAGTATGGATTCGACGATGGCGGGCCAGACTCAATGACTGGAAAGGAATTAGGAACTGCGCAGATTACTGATTCGAAGGCTACTTACATCTGAGAATGCCTTCTGGCATCCTTCGTGATCACAAATATGGGGCTTTTCGCCAGTGTGGGTCCTCGAATGTACGGTCAAGGCATTTCGTTGAATAAAGCTCTTGTTACACTCTGTAACCGTGCAACGATAAGGCCGCTCATTGCTGTGAATGCGATAATGGCGGCAGAGATCCGACTTGCGTTTGATAGATCCTAGCGAGTATTGGCTAACGTATATGCTAGCGTTGTAGCTTCAGAGTCATCAAAGTGAAATGGTGGTTGGCATAAGAAAAATGATACCCCCACATTATCAGAATTACGCCGTATACCAGCTTCTAACCCAGTCATACCCGATTATACCAAATTATACCAAATTATACCAAATCATACCAGATTATGCCATAATGCACCGAACTCTCCACAGGCTGACAAGACATAACAGAGAAATCAATTGTGCCTTCGCGCCATTCAGTCTCTGCGATAGCTTAGTTGGTGCCTCACGACAGTATCAGACTGCGGCGCCTCCGGTGTAGTTTCTCTCTTTTTCGCGCCAGTTAGTGGAGTTGGAAGATGTTGAATATAGGGGTTAAGTCCTATATAGCATATGTAATAACTATTCCCCCGGGTATTGAAGAACAGGCAAAATGAAGCAAATGTCAATACATCTATTCATCCAATTCTAAGTTTTCGAAGCCATTCCCATTGTGGAAATCTTCATGTTCAAATATAGAAATCTATACAGTCGGAAGGCCTCACCAGCTGGGATTCGGTGAATACATACATGCGTATATATAGATAGGGGTTTAGGTTTTTACCGTGTGAATAGCTTCAATTACAAGGAATATATAATTTACAGTACGTAAATATAGAGCGGTGTGGTTTATGCCTCAATGCAGCCTTTGGCTGCATGTAGTTAACCACTCTGCACGCTCACCTAGTAGGCGAGCGATAAATTACGCCTGGATCCTTGTTAGGGGCTTTTTACTGGTAGCTACCCCTCTATCCCTAGCAAAGGGAATTCCTTTCATGTCACGCATGTCACGATAAACTAGAATGAGTGACAACATGGGGCTTGGCATTACGCGCCGAGGAAAACAATGCTCCTACTGTGATCGTGTGTTCGCTCGGCCAGAACACGTTTCCAGGCACGAGCGCTCTCGTAGGTCCGACAAACCGTTCTGTATCTAAGATATTAGTCAAATATCTTCCAGATCGCAACGAGCGCCCGTTCAGATGTACGCTTTGCAGTGCAGCCTTTACTCGGCAAGATGTCTTCAAAAGGCACCAGTCATGGTAGCACATGGGAATTCTCCCCCAACAACATAGTCAGGGAGTCTCCGATGAGGACCCGTCCGAGTCTGTGCAATCAAATTTTATGCGGACACCCACGATCTCATTAGTGACAGCACGAAATGCGGTGGAGCCCTCAACCGCTACAGCGCTGCTCGGGCCTCCTCTCTTCAACCCAGCAGACATGTTAGAGATTGATAACCCGACCATGGACTCTTTGATTTCAGCTCTCAACTTCCCACTAGTTCCAGAGTCTCTCATGTCTAGTAACCCGATTGAGAAAGCGCAAAAAAACCTGCAATCCGACTTGGCATTGAGTTGCTTTGCATCTCCCCTAGAACAACATGCTGCCACGATATCATGACCGCAGGTGATAGAGTCGTCTGCATGGAAAGGCTGATTTTCTATCTCAGAACATGAGTGGCGTCAACTAGCTTCCGCAGTTCATACACCTACATCGGTAAGCCGCAGACTCATGCCCGTACTGGGTCTCCCAGCCTGCAGTGCTTAAATATTCATACAGACAGAAGATTCCAGCAATTGCAAATGTCCGAGTCGCTTCGCATTAGAAAGATTAATAAACGCATTTGCCGAGTGCTTCCTCATATACATACCATGTATCCATACGCCAACCTGGAAAGCAGAACTAGCTCCCCCGTGTGTGATTCTTGCCATGGCATCCATCGGTGCCAGCTACTACGATGACGCAGCAACCGCCACTTTGATTCACCTCATTTCCAAAACCTATATCATCAAATACGTACGCAAGGCAGACCTCTTTATAAACCATGTTTACTGGCTCAAAGAAGGTTCAATCGAGCCAGCTCACTATCGCAGACAAACCGCTATGGGCGCTGCAGTGTCTTCTCCTGGTTATGGCAAACGGTACGAAGAGTGGGAGTTTCCGGACCTTCCAAGAAGCGGCATCATTAGCCTCTCTTCTGCTCGAGGTGAGTGTGACAAGTTGAGCAATCCTTTGTTTGGAGGATGCCCTTGTGCGGTATTTCGTCACGTCGCGGAGGGTCTACTCACGTGGAGCTACCAATCAATGTTTGTACTTGACAGGTCATCCAATACAGAAAGATTAGAGTTAGAGGGAGGGCATGTTGATCTTTTGCAACGATGGCTGAAGTGGATTAATTTTGAGATGACTGTGCAGTATGTGAAATCATCTTATCTTGGATATTCCATATACCTAACATGAATTGACAGGACAATTTGCTCCATATACATCTATCTGGGTGCTCTAGGCGCCACTTTCCAAACAGCTAGCTGCTCTTGGAACGTGGATATGAGTGATTGTTTTCTGCCGTGCGAGGAATCAGAATGGGTGAGCATATCCCCACAGGCATGGTTCGAGTCGAGAAAGTCCAACTGCAAACCGCCGATTCGCTTCTCAGCCGCAATGGCCAATCTTTTCTCCTCTCAGTGGGAACCCTCGCTTCAACTGAGTATTTTTGGGTCCTATGTGACTTTGCATGGCATCGTTAAGCTGCTGGCAAATTTCTACAAGGATAGTTGGCTTCTAGATCCGAACCAGGCACAAGCGCAACTGCTTGAACAAGCCCTGGTGAGGTGGCGTATGTGTGCGGAGCAGAACCCCGAGTTTCATTGTTCTGCAAGGTACCCCAGCGATGTGATTCCAGCAAATGCGCTTTCGCTGTCTCGACAAGCTCATGTTCGACTATGTGGAAAATTCAGGCCCATCAGATCCGCTCTTGCGACCCGAAACGTGCAAACCATCTCTTCCAGCTTGGATGACATCAAAGTTGAAATATCAGGCTCAAGCACATATCTGAAAGCTGCTTGGTGTGCTATTGAGGCCCTGCAGACCTCGGTTAGGATGGGAATGTCCCACACAGGATCGATTTCAGGGTGGCACTCCAAGTTATTTTTCAATGTCTATTCTTTAGAATTCTGTATATCCTTTTAGGTCTTTCTTCACCCTCGATCTTGAGCTTGTGTCGCCTCTTTATTCGTGATGACCGATAACTAATTACCCGAAGGTCTGTTTCACAGCTTTTGGGTTCGGCAGAAGTCAAATTGCGCCAGCTCAGACCTATCTTCAGAGGAGAACGACATACTGAAAGCAACCCAAGAAACACTAGCAGAGATAGATTTAGATCCACTGCTCGGGTCAAAACCATGATGCTCTCAAGGTCGTGGAAGGCTGGGATCCGAGAATTGCAGAGGTCTTCAAGATCACTCCGCCCGATCAGTTGTTCGACCACAAGCTGATGTATCGAGATCCGCTTCCGACGTGAGTCTCCCCCAAGGGGCGAGTGATTTTAATAGGTGACGCCGCGCATTCATATGTCCCTACATCTTCTCAGGGGGCAACTCAGGCAATCGAGGATGCTGCGACCGTCGCTATCGTCTTGGAGTTAGCTGGTAAATCCCAGGTCCCACTTGCCTTGCGTACTGCGGAGAAAATGAGCTACGCTATACTAAAACTACAACCTTTTCTACGCCTTAACAGTTATCAGATATGAACGATGCAAGATTGGACAAAAAATGGGCATTGAAACACGCGATATTTGGCTTAAAACAGACTGGGAAGCAGTTAAGAACAACCCGCAGCTTCTAGCCCAACCGCGACCAAACTGGCTTTTCAGCCATGACCCCCAGGCTTATGCATACGAAGAATTCGAAGCTGCGGCCTCCGCGGTTCTTACTGGCTGCCCGTATAAACCAAGAAATGTACCCGACGAAGGTTCTAGCCACCGTGCAACAGATTTCGACGAGGAGAAATGGGCGAATGGGCCTAAGGAAGGGTCGACCATGGGAACCAAACTGTGAAGAGGAGGATCATGATGGCAGGAAGCAACGAACTGGGTCCATAGAAAGGGAAATGTTAGGGGCCTGATCTCTGGGGCGACCAATGGGTGACAGGACCAGATACGTAGATAGCTCTCTCTCTCTCTCTCTTTTTTTTTTCTCTTTTCTTCTCCCTCTCTCCGCGTGGGTGGGCTTCGCTCGCAATGTATCGCACTCTTTCTCCATTTCTCCTTGCGTAGCTGCATCAGGAAACAATCAACAGCTACTCAATAAGGCCCAGAAATCGCTTCATCCGATCGTAGACGTAGAAACTTGTTGCCACCATCGGGGCCATTTTCACATATCCAATGGTTAGTCCAACGTAAAAGCCTCTCACTCCTCTCTCGAGGTAGATACGTTGGATTGTCTCCAAAATTCCTGACTGAGTGCCAACCACACTTGCGACTTGGACTCGCCGTCGAAGAATATCGATTGGGTATGAAACTGTTTGGGCAACTATCCCAGCGACCGCACCGCAGGAAAGCTGAGCGAAAGCAGTCAGTCGAGTCGAAGACGGTGCTTCTAGCGTGTAGGGTGCAAATGTAGGTGAGCGAAGCAAATCTCTAACTTGGTCGTGGGTTAGGAATGACGTCCCGGCATACGGAAGTATGCCTAGCATAGTTGGGGTAATTCCTTGATAAAGATGACCTTCAAAGTAAATTTTCCGAAGCATATCAAGCCAAGACGAAGGATTCCTTTGTGCTATTTCGAAGGCAAGACGAGTACGGATCAACTCAAGAGGATATGTGATAAACGTGGATATCGCCCCGGCCATACTACCGCATAAAAATCGACGGAGCGGTGTTTCCTTCTCAGGGGATGTGATAACTGCCGATCGGAACTGTTCGTTCGCGAGGAAGTTGATGCTAGCATATGGAAAGACGCGGATTAAGCTTGCGGAGTGACCTTTGAAGAGCGCAGATATTCCATATGATGTTTGAATGTCTCTAGCAGCCTTAATTAACCCATTCCAGTGGCCCGAATAATGCACAAATTGAGAATGAGAGGTTTGGAAAAGTATCTTGACCCTCTCTAGTGGGGCCACAACAGTTTTTGCCTAGAAGACTCTCGTATCAGCGATCCTATATTTGGTAGCTAATGTAGCAAAAGCTTACAGCGCAACCCGCGATACCTCCGGCAAGTCCATTCAGTAGAATAAAGTCCAACTGTCGACTATCCCCATTGGCTTTTGATCCCGATGAATCTTTTGCGGCACTGACACTTGTGCCACCCATTATTCTCTCCAGAACCCACGGGTGGATTATAATGACGTGAGAGGAGGAGTCAAAGAGGAAGTCAGGGAGGGAGCTAAGAAAGGGAGAGAGCGAGCCTTGGCATTCTAAGGCTAAATCTACTAGATCAAAGACTCCGGGGCCTAGGCACTCGAACGGTTGCTAGGATCACGCTCAGGGTTCGGAACGAGGAAAATCAATTTGTTCGATCTGCATCCTGCAAAGAGATATCTAGCTCCGGTTGGGCTTTTTAGCCCTCCAATCATATTAAAACAGTCTAGGGGAGGCTACATCTACCCGGGCATACAACGCCGGATATTACACGGTGTTAAGTTGATCTGTACCCCACCGGTGGGGTAATCCACTCGTGGACTGATCGACCCGGAAAAGGCTCCCGAGGTTAACATTTCAAACTCGTGAAGCAAGGGGCTGTAGCATGCTTCATTTTGGAATCTCCCCTTATTTTGAACTGAAACTGATGCTTTGCAGTAGAACGCATTCAGCTTGTACTTCCTCTTATCCGCTATATCCGAGACTCGATATGGATCTTGCTTGGCACACTCATAACAAAATAATCAATTGCGCGCAGCTGCTCCAATCCTCTTATATCCTAAGCCCGGGACTTCGAAATATGTTGATGGGTGGGCACTGGAATTGAAGTACAACATAGATGGTCTAGCCTCGCTCGGAGGGAATTGAATTCTGTCCCACCGTTCGGTCAGCACTTTTCCCATCCACAAAAGACCTTATCCATCCACAAAACGTTGGAGATCAAGATGGCGAACCCAGAAGCCGAACGTAATGTTTTGGAGCAGCACTCGCTTTACGAGAAGGGTTCACCAGAAGTCCAGAATACGAACGGAGGGAACCAATCGTCAGTCTCAGATGGCGATGAGAGTGAGTACCCTACAGGCTTAAGGCTGATGTTTGTGGTGGTTGCCTCGATCGTTGCAATCTTTCTTACCTCGTTGGATTCCGTGAGTTCCCACGTTCGCAAGGAGCCAAGCAAGGTTGGTATTTGCTAAGAACCTTTCTTTTTCGACAATTATTGCCACGGCAATTCCACGGATCACCGACGATTTTCATAGTCTCTTGGGGATGTGGCTTGGTATGGCTCGGCCTTCTTCCTGGCTACTGCTAGTTTCCAAACAGCATGTAAGCTCCGTATCTTTTTCTGGTCTTCGCCTCTGATAGAAATGACCAGGGGCCAAGGCGTATGGGTTTTTCAGCCTGAAAATTACGTTCCTGCTAGCCATCTTTCTTTTCGAAGTTGGAAGTCTAATATGCGGCGTTGCACCAACCTCGGTGGCACTGATAATTGGCCGTGCGATTGCAGGCGTGGGTGCCGCAGGTGTCAACACTGGTTCGTTCACCCTGGCTGCCTTCTGTGCACCCCTGCACCCCCCAAGAAAAGACCTATCTTCACGGGTTTGATCGGTCTCTCGTCCGGTGAGTTCTCCAAATCTCTATGTAGAAGTGAGCTGACTGATGTAGGAATTGCATCCGTCGTGGGGCCACTCCTTGGTGGTGTCTTTACAGAAAAGGCCTCATGGAGATGGTGTTTCTATATCAACCTGCCCGTCGGCGCTGTGTCCGCGCTCTTCATTATCGTCTTTTTTCAAATTCCGGCTGCCTCGAAATCCCACGATAATGCTTCTTTATGGTCTAAGTTCCTTCAGATGGACCCCATTGGAATCTTTTTGATGCTGGCCTGCGTCACCTGTTATATTCTCGCGATGCAATATGGGGGTGATAGTTATGCCTGGAACAGCTCGGTTGTCATTGGCTTAATTGTCGGATTCGTCCTAATCCTAGCTGTTCTTTGTGGATGGGAACTATACATGGGCGAGATGGCGATGTCTTGCCCTCGTTTGGTGAAGCGATATGCAGTGCCTTCGGCCGTGGGTTTCTTCTTTTTGGCTCATACATTGTGGTCATCTATTACCTGCCTATCTACTTTCAAAGTATTGACGGCGTGTCTGCTATTGGTTCAGGTGTCCATAACTTGCCTTTTATCATCTCAGTATCCGTTTTTACAGGTCTCAGTGGCGTCTTTATCTCCATGACCGGCTATCCTGCACCATTCGTCATCTCCGGAGCTGCAGTCGGCACGATCGGATGCGGTCTGTTTATACATTCGATATCGGTACCAGCACAGGGAAATGGATTGGATATCAAATTCTAGCTGGCGTTGGCAACGGATTCGGTGTCCAAGTCCCAATAATTATGGCACAGGGAAACACAGATGCACATGATATGGGGGCCACAACTGCTATTCTTAGTGTAAGCTCCTAACCAACCCCGTTTGCATTTGGCTCAGAGTGCCAATCTAATCATCGTCATATATTTAGGCTTCCAAACTATTGGGGGTGCCTTTATGCAATCCGGTGCCCAAGCCGCGTTCGCAAACCGGCTACTCACTGAACTCCCGAACGCCGCCCCGAACGTCGACCCTTCGGCTGTGGTAGCCACAGGAGCAACAGAGTTACAAATCATTTGGCCTCGAGCCTCCACGGAGTCCGTCTTGCGTATATGGACGGAATTAAAGTGACATTCGCCTTCGCTTGTGCTTCAATGGGAGTGGCCTTCATACTAGCTCTGTTTTCTCGGCGGGCAAGAATCGGGGGCGAAGCAGCCAAGAGCGCTATGGCGCCTGCCGCCTAGATTAAAGAAGGCTGTCAAAGGCATCACATGAGATCTGGTGGCTAGAATACTTGTTGCATTAAGCTCTATTATATAGTTGAAAAACGTTGCGTGTGTCTATTGCAAAGTTGACTGGCCAACTTCAGACCATTCTCAGAGCGAGAACAGAACAAGAGGGTTGAAGGTGAGGATGAAGGGGAAATGGATGTATACTGGAAATAGAAATCCGTCATATAATCAATATATATTACTGGTCTTTAAATGACATCGGCGTCCTAAAGCATAATCCGAGCCATTGCCCCTCAGACTATCCTCTCGTCCGGCTGTGCTGTCATTTCAGTGCGACCACGCTGGGGCCATGGTTGCCAGGGTTATGGTAGACCCGACGGAAGAATAGTGCATCTCGCCCGATAGTATCCAGGGCTTTCTTTTTCTCCTGTTCCACTTCACACTCGAGTTTGTGGTTGAGAAAATCACCATAGCAGGCGGTGGGGATGCCTTTTAAGGAACAGCTTAGCCGGTCCTCGGGTGAATAACGCCATTCTTGGGGGCCTAACCAACCCTGAAGGAATGGGTATGGCCAGTTTCCCTTTCGGTCTGAGTGGTGGTACCAGTGGAGTCTCGTATATGTATCGACGGAGTCGACTGTAACGTAAGTTCGTACCGTGCTCTACATAAAAAAAGCTATTTGAGGGCTCTTTAGAAATAGGCCGTTTCTTTGACGGAATCGGTTGGTTTTAGTGCTCAACCATTGAAGAAAATGTCTTCCTTTTGTACGAATCATGACCACCTGGCAGAACAGCCAGGGGCAATGCCTATTGCGATTTGCGGAATGGGTATGCGACTCCCTGGAGGTATTCGGGACTCAGAAGCATTGTATGACTTCTTGTTGGACAAACGCGATGCTCGAGGACCTGTTCCCCCAGATCGATTCAATATTGATGGCTTCTACGATTCGGAGGTAAAGCCGGGTAAACTGGCCTCAAAACAGGGTTGCTGGTTGAGCAATGTCGATTTGTCCCATTTTGACTCGTCCTTATCTTCAATGAGTCGGACAGAGATCGAGAACTTGGATATGACACGAGGTGGCGATGAGGAGACGAACATCGCATTGTCGCGGCAAGACTTCGGAGTCGACTCACTGGTCTCAATCGAGCTTCGGAACTGGTGGAAGCAGGCATTCGGGGCTGACCTGACGGTGCTGCAGCTGATGAACAGTGGCAGCTTTATCAATCTTGGTCAGAAGGCGGTGGACCAACTCAAGCAGAGGCATTTGAAGGCGTAGCGGCGGATATTGTTTAGGGGATTTGACGAGCGCAGTTCCTGAATGCATATGTATTCCAGCTTCAGAATCTAAATATGTACTGTTCTTAAATTAGCAAAAATTGCCGAAAAAACAAAGGCTAGAAAGCCAGTGGGGATGTCAAAAGGGCAAAAGGAGACCTGACACTGCCCAGGTGCATTAAAGTGGCCATGTCAGCAGCCACCGACTAGCGCCGTGGCGTCGACGCACTTCAACAAAACAATCTCCCTAAAAGGTAATACCCATTATCATATGGTAATATGGGAGGTTGACGAGAGTTGTGTGTTGCTGTACCCCGCAAGTACAAGTGACAACCATGCATATATTGAGAAATTTCCGGCGCTTGGCAAGGCTGCGCGCAAAGCAGCCCAATTACGACAATTATTTTGACTTCCTCACCCCTCAACAGTCATGGGTAACGAGACACTTCAGCAGTTCGCCGCCCTCGATCTAGACTACTTGATTATAGGTGGAGGTACCGCAGGTCTAGCTGTTGCTGCACGACTCACCGAGGTCCCTGAATTCCGCGTGGGAGTCGTCGAAGCCGGCCCATCGGTATTTGACATCGATGATAACGGCGCGATCAATGTCCCTGGTCGGTATGGCGAAACCATCAGCTCAAAATACGATTGGAAATTCAAAACTATCCCACAGCCGGGCCTAGGAGGAAGATCACTACCATGGCCACGAGGTCGTATATTAGGCGGCACAAGTGCGCTCAATCTTATGGCCTGGAATCGGGGTCATCGCAAAGACTACGATGCTTGGGCGGAACTGGGGAATGACGGATGGGGATGGGAAGATCTGCTGTATGAGACGAGTGACTAGCTTTCTAAGATTCGCGCTCTATCCTGAATCTCACCTGCTGATCTTTGAGATACTGAATTCCTTGCAGGCCTTTTTTCCGCCGCAGCGAGAACTTCCACCCGCCGAGCGCCGCTCATCAAAAGCATTATCAGTCCTCCTATGATCCCCAGGCTAATGGAACGAAGGGCCCTGTACATACAACTCATGCCAAGCAATATAGCCCTGCACACCAATATTGGCATGACACACTCAATAGTCTCGGGGTTCCATCCACGCGCGATAGTCTGGCGGGTGATAATACGGGCGCCTGGAACATGGTCTGTACTATTGATCCAGATAGTCAGGAGCGCAGCTACTCTGCCTCTGCGTACTACTACCCCATTTCGAAACGCCCAAACCTGCATATACTGACCGAAGCAACCGCCATGGAAATTTTGTTCGATTCTGAAGATGATGAGTGGTACACAGCAGGGGTTCGAGTACGCTGGAACGGACTGGAAGCCAATATCAAAGCATACGAAGAAACAATTGTCTGTGCTGGTAGCGTGCAATCGCCACAACTTCTGGAGCTATCCGGCATTGGCAATCAGGACGTGCTGGAAGCTGCTGGAATCGAGACAAAAGTCCACAGTCCCAACGTAGGGGAGAATCTACAGGAGCATATGAGTATGAAACCTCGATAGTGCTCCTTGTGATATTAACTGATGTTTATAAGTGACTGCCACTATCTTCGAAATACCCTCCACGATTCCAACCCGGGATGATATTCTCAAAGACCCAATTCAGCGCGAAGCTGCGGACCGCGCCTATTATGCTTCTCAGACCGGGCCTTGGACTGTGATGCCCTGTTCAGTGGCGTACTGTCCGCTCTCGAAGATCCTATCGCCTGAGGAATGCGATGAGCTACACACTCAAGCCAGGGAAGTCGCGCGAAATACAGGACGTGCACATGACGCTCTTCTGGCCACTCAATTCGAATCCGGTCAAGCGCGCGGGCAAGTCGAGTATCTCTTCGATCTCGGTAACTGGAGCCCATATTTTGTTTCTGAGCCAGGAAAGAAATACGCTACAATGCTGCAAATGCTGCAGTACCCTTTCTCGCGCGGCTCTATCCATATACCCCCTATGAGTGAAAACAACTATGAAAAGGCCACAATTGATGATAAGCCTGTGATTGATCCGCGGTACTTTCTAGGACCTGGGGAGATTGATAAGAAGGTCATGGCGAAAGCACTTAAATGGGGAGATCGAATTTGTCAAACTGAGCCTTTGGCCAAACTCATTCAAGATCGTGTCTTTCCTCCTGCCAATGGGGCAGACTCCGAGGACAAAGTATACGAAGAGTTTGTCTCGAATTACACTGTCACCGATTGGCATCGTATGTGCTCCCCCTCAGATCCATTCAACAAGTCACTAAATATACATACAGCAGTTGGAACATGCGCTATGGGTGAAGAATATGGGATCAATGCGGGAGTTGTGAATGATACGCTACAGGTGCATGGGGTCCATCGTCTGCGGGTTATAGATGCTAGCATCATGCCATTGCAGGTTGGGGCACACATCCAAGCCACTGTATATGCGATTGCCGAAAAGGCGGCGGAGATGATCATTGATGACAATTTTTCTCGAAATGGTCACTTCTGAATCTCACGCATCTTGCATCAAATGATAATGTTCCATCTAAATGGCCTTGACAATATCTTGCCCAGTAGTCGCACACTAAGAAGGCAACTGTCACAACAGCATGTCCATGCATTCATATTTTCGAGGTTACACGTCTTGAGTTTTGGAGATATTGCCTCAAACCAAATCCATCCGGTTCGATCGGACTGCTCCACACTCTAGCATCACCCATGTCTGTGAAACATAGCCTGCGCACACATGCAACCTTGGCGATTTCCCCCAGACGAGGGTGGTCCGGGGAATTGCTTCAATAACAAACACAAAGACTGGAATGGCTCGGATTATGCCTTAAATAAAAAGACCGGGGACTGAAAGCAGAACTCCCCGAGCTTCGGCTAAAGCCGACCTTAGCTTAGTCTCCCCTCTTAGAGGGGCAACGTCGGACCTATTTAGTCCGGACAATTGCCACGGGGAATTCATCGGATACTTTTCCAAGGATTTACTGGATATCGTATCATTCACTAAGCTAACAAAACATCCGCCTCGTGTGTTCCGTCATACTATTTGTTTTTCCATCTGACACGGAAACTGATTCCCGCGCTTGAATATATACCGACTGATCTTGCTGGAACACAATCACACATACATATCCTCTATTCTACATCATGATTTCGGGAATCGCCCATATTAATCTCACAATCCCTCAGGATACATTAGAACAAGCCGAGGAGTTCTACGGGACCACCCTCGGACTCACCTCAGCACCGGTACCGGAGCTCCAGAAGGGGACAATCTTATGGTATTGAAGCGAGCTATTTCTCAAAAAGAGACACAATTCTAACATCAATAGGTTCGATATCGGGTCGAGCGGACAGCAAGTGCATATCACATTCGGCTCGACTGATCCCCAATCTAGCCGGCACCCATGCTTCAAGCTGTCTTCCCGCGAGGAACTAGAAGAGATTAAAACAAGCATCTATAACCATCACGTGCGGGGTGGCCCTGCAGCTCCAATGGCTGCTGATAAGCCCGGCGAGATCAACTCTGGTGGGAGACGTTTTTGATGCATTTCGCGTATTATTTGCTGATTACCCTTACAGGGACTCAAGGGAAAGAGTATCCTACTCGGTTCTTCGCTCGGGACTTTGGTGGAAACTTGCTTGAGTTTACTATGTAGATATTTCTGTTGGTTTGAATCGAGCTTACGTGTATGCAATTGTGGTTTTGACGGTGGAATATCAATGAGAAATAGTCCAATGTCAACAATTTCAATACTATATGGAGTCACCTACCTAAAGGAGATACTATGTGCGCATTATTTTTGAGCCTAGGCTTGCGAGGTTTTCATATCATCACTCTCTATATTCTGGGATTTGCCATTTCTTTATATCCATCTGTAAGTAAAAGATGGCGTGCATTTTGATCAGAAAAAATTATACATCTTGTTAATTTTAGCTGACGTACTCTATATCCGTGTTCGCCTTCTTATACACCTCTGCGCGCCCGTTTTCGTCCCCGTCCACATCTAGGGATACGGTGCCTAGCTTGGTGCCTGGCTTGGTGTCTGGCTTGACATTGTTTATGTTTGGATACGCGACTGAAATACAGGAACGAGTCTAGGCCCAAATAGGTGATAGTGCACCTTTTAGCAAAACGCTAAGCCTAGAGAAGTTCTTCGTCCGACAAATGCGGGGAATCCTCCGAATGCGATACTGTCGCAGGAGAACCATAAGCTTGAAATAGAGAGGACTTACCGATATTCGACAAATGGGTTTCATCTGTCTTACAATATCGAAACCAAATAGCCTGAATAATGAGTTTTGGAACGTTGTACACATTTCCTGTAGGACCCAATGAGAGTGTTTACACTAGGTTACCGATTGCTAATATCCAAATTTCCTCTCAGGGCGACCAGTGCCGAACAATAGCCATCAAGGCTGTGGCTAAGGATAATGGTCTCGATCTTGACATTCGCGAGATGCCCAGGACTCCCGATCATTTGAGTATTAGCAAGCTTGGCAAAGTCCCTGCATTTCAAGGCGCGGATGGCTTCAAGCTATTTGAATGCATGGCAATTGCCCTGTACAGTCAGCTCAACCCAGAATCTGCTGAAGCTATACAAAGCTGACAATAATTACCAGTCACGTCTCAAAATGAAGAGACAACACTTCTCGGAGAGAACAAGAAGGAATACGCCGAGATCATCAAATGGATGTCTTTCTTCAATACCGAGATAGTCATACTTATGACTCAAATGTTGCTGCCCCAGATTGGTATCATTCCCTATGATAAAGAGCAGGTCGAGCTTTTCACCAACATGACCCAGAGATCTGTTGATGTTGTGGAAGAGTATTTGCAAGACCGTACTTTCCTGGTTGGCGAGAAGGTATCCCTTGCAGATCTGTTCTGTGCCGGGAACATATCCCTTGGCTTTCAATTCTTTTATGGCAAAACTTGGAGGGAGAAAAATCCTAATGTATCTCGCTGGTATGAGATGGTTTGTCATTTGCCCATTTATGCGGCCGTTACCGAGAAGTTCCAGCTTCTAGACGAGCCGAAGCTGACCAACAATCCTCCTGGAGGAGAAGCCTGAACGCAGGATGGTGACCCTTTTTCCCAGGTTCTCAGCCAGTGTCAATAAACACGGTATTTCATTCGAAGTAGTTGAATATCGATTTTCTCTAGAGCAGTTTGACTACATATATGAGGAATGGCAGGGACTATCTAACTTAGCTCACAATCACTTCCAAGATTATTCCGGTAGATCTCCAATTTTGATTGCAAAGAAACATAGCACTTTATGTAACATCGTAAGTAATCCATCGAGTCCCTTATTCCACAGACCTCAGTCAGTCGTAAAAGAATGAACATTTTGAAGATAATGAAAATGCTCCTGTATTCACATAATTGTCTTGACGGCAGTCAGAAGTTGTGATTCTTCTCGGGGTGATGTAACTAGGTCTCTAAGCCATTTTAGCGCATCAAAACACCAATAATGTGACCACTGATCTTCTAAAACGTAAGAATAACTTTCGCCCTGAAAGTAATAATTACGCCGATAGGGTCGGATCGGACGAGACAGATGGTTTCGGTCTCTATCGGAGTTAGCTGCGTTTTCGGGCAATAAGCCACATTGGCGGAGGATCGTCTTAGCAGTGAGGGGTAGAATAAAATAGTATAAGAAAATCATGAGAATTGCTTGCTTCTATGTCTCAACAAATGTCCGGGTTGTTGTATTTCGAACGTCAAGACCAAATGGGTGCCTAAGTAGAGAGCTCTCGTGAATCAGCAGGTCCGCGCTGTGCCTTGAACATGCAGTACAAATGCTGTTACAACGGACTGAAGATCTTTACGCAATAATATTGCCAAAAAATTGCCCATGCCACACTGACGCTGGGACTTAGTATGATTCGGCATATCTCATTCGGCAAGTTCTCCAAATAGGGCAATTGCGCCGTTCGGCAAAGGCGACGCAGAAATGCGCCCTGTTTTGTTGGTATTTCGGGGGAGAGTTCTCTGCCGTAAGATCTTCATGTGTTGGAATTGAAAAAAGTGAGAGTGCTAATGATCAGTTTATGTGTAGCATCGGCCCCTATCGGGATTAACCGCGTATTTTGTATTTTAACTAGATCATCTGTCCACTTAAGAACTGTAGTTTATCTCCAACTTGATCTTAATCGACAAGGGAAAGAGGATAGTCAAGATATCAGATCAAAGATGGATAACTTCATGCGGATGACCAAAAGTCTTGGGCACAAGCCCGAACTACTACGTCTCAGAGCCCTGGATGCTACTTACGACGACGCCTTGCAGGGGAAACTTGTGATAGCGCCTGTTGATCTGAATGAACCCGGGAAGAAAATACTGGATTCTGGTACCGCTGATGGTAAGCATTTCCCTGTGGTCTTGCTTTTTCCATGGCTTCGACTGACCGAAGAAAAAGGAACCTGGCTGCGCGGTGTTCGCAGCAAGCAATCCGTGCAGCATGACTACTACGGTAGCGACGTCGAAGGCGAGCTATTCCCCGAGGATACAGAGGGCATCGAATACTTTGCGCATTCGTTCAAGGATCCTTGGCCCCAAAAGTATTTGGGGATTTTCGACCTCGTTCACATTCGAGGCAGCCTAGCGGGCTCCGCCCCGGAGGGGCCTGCCCCTGTGATCAAGAATCTTACTACTCTGTTGAAGTCTGGTGGTTGGGTTCAGCTCATGGAAATGAATGGCTTCAGTGCGCCAAAGAATGGACCTGCTATGACGGACTTCGCAAAAAATGGCATCTGAGATGTTTACCGGCATTGGAGTCGGTGACTTCGCCAACAACAACAAGTCCATGCTGGAAGAAGCCGGCCTGAAGAACGTCCAAGAGAAGCGAGTGGTTGTCAAGTTGGGCAAGAAGGCGAAAACGGAGTTCCAAGAAATGAGTATCCATGGGGTTACTGGACCCCTTGTGCCGTTGACGAGCGTCGCGCGGACAGTCCCATCTTCATTCACCAATGAACAGCTTGATGCACTGCCGGCACGAGTCAAAGAGGAGCTGGAAACCGAAGGAGGTCAGGTTGAGATGGTCATTGCCTTTGGCCAGAAGGCTTAAGTCTTTGTTGATAGCTATTATATACATGTTGGAGCACATCACTGAATGAACGTACGGGCGATTCTGTCGTCACAGATCACAAGTGTAAAATACCACTAAAATATGTTCACATGTAGTTGTAGTTTTAATTTAAGGCCTTTCCGAGGCTGAGTTCAATATCAAATATCAGAAGTGTTACCAACTTGCCGAATAAGGTATACGGAAAACCGATCGATGCTGGTCGGCAACAGATCGGACTCATCTTGTTGCTGTCGATTGGGGAACTCTGGTAATTCCAAGTCAGCTCCACGGTCGGCAACAGTGATTTGTATCTCCCCAGTGGCAGCGGTTCTCAAATGGCTGTCATCCATTGCACCGACACTGAGACTGAATTGTGCATAAATCTCGCCATCGCTTTTATTCGAGTCAAGATTGCTGCGGACAGAAAACAAAGTTTCTGTGCCGTCGGATGCTTCGTCTAGGACGATTGGGCGCAATATAGCCACATTGACCAACTCGATACTGTGTACATTCTTGCCCCGGCAAAGGACCTTGGCAGCCTCAAGGGCCATCACACAGTACGTAGCTGCCGGTACAATAATCTGATTCTGGACACAGTAATCTCGAAGCCAGGGTAGCTCGTCCATAATGAAAAAGTTTCGCCATCTGGGCTCATACTCCGTATCGTCTGGAGTTCTGCTGCCCAGAAGCGCGTTGGGTGGATCGGCTCGGTTGCGGACATTCCTGTTGAGTCGTGATTCGCGATATAACACCTTTTTATGATCCCAAGGATACGTAGGTAGGTCAGGCAAAGGAGGGGCTTTTAAGATAGAGGCAATGCTTGGGTCAAATGCAGACGCGTATCCCGTGAAGTCAACAACACCACACCCCAATGTCAGCCAGGTGAATCCGAGTGCAGTGCCCAACGCCGATATGTCATCGGATTTGCGATCCAGAATGCCGGAGTAAGGGATTTCGGACCCAAGCTTGTGTCTGATTGTTTCCAGGGTGGGTCCTTTGAGTGAAGGATGCGGTCCAACTTCGAGCGCGAGATCAAAATCTCCATTTGTCTCGTCCATTGCGCGCTCCACAGCTTGCGAAAACAAGACTCTTCCAATCAGATTGTCTTTCCAGTAAGCTGCCTCCATATCTGCATCCTGGACAGGTGTGATCATTCTGTTATCTTCATACACGCTGGAAGCCCAGGCAGTTTGGTTGGATTTGCCAGCTACAAGGCCGCATCGCTCGATGGCAGCCAGATATGGCGCAGCGCAAGGGTACATGTGATGGGAATGATAGGCTGTGTTGAGCCGAAGAACACGATTGAACAAGCCCTCGGCATCTAACATTTCTTTTGCCTCGTGAACTGCATCTAGATCTCCAGAGAGCGTCCTCTTAGGCGAGTTACTGGCAGCTACCGTGAGACGGTCGGCGAATTGCTCGAGCGCACAAAAGTTGAGTCCTTCTTCGTAACCGAATCCTACCGCAATCATGCCGCCCTTCTTCCCATCTTTCCCAATGGCGAGCTTGGTGTAGACTCCACGGTAGTATGCAATCTTGATGGCATCAATCTCGTTAATTTTGCCTGCCGCATAGGCAGAACCAATCTCCCCACCAGAATGGCCGACGACCATGCTAAAGTTGATTCCTGCACTCTGCAGTACTTTGACGAGGCCAACTTGAAGTGCTGCGCAGACGGGTAGGGAAATCTCAGCTTCGCCCAGCCGCGATGTTTTGGGCGGCTTCATGATTTCCTCTTCCAGAGACCAAGCCGGGCCATCGGGCAGTTGCGACATTGCAACTTCCATCACCTTAATGGCTTCCTTGAAAAGCGCGCTCTTCTCCATAAGACCTTGGCCCATACCTGCCCATTGAGCTCCTTGGCCAGTGAAGACACCCAGGATCTTAGGACGTTTGTTATGGTCAAACTCTGGGATAGAGGATCTGGTGCCAATCTCCACGCCAGGGCTTGAACGAACTTTTGCAAGCTGCGACCGTATCACTTCGAGAGTGCTTGCTTTCGACGTTCCGGGAATAGAGATCCTCACTGGCAACGTCGACCGATAAGAGTTCAGAGTCATGGCCAAACGTCCAATAGACACGTCGTTCCTATCTAGGTACTCTTCATACCTCTCAAGCATCGCACGCAGGGCCGTTCCTGAGCCTGCCGAAAAGAGTAGTGGTATTGGGGAGAAGTCGACATCAGGTGGGGGAATGGAGTTTGAAGTCCGGCGAAGCTTCTCTGGATTCCCCCATGGGCCATTGTCGTGGATTTTGGGCCCATAGCTTTCGACAATGGCATGGCAGTTAGTGCCGCCTGAGCCGAACCCGTTGACACTTGCTCGCAGCGGTGTATCGACAGGCAACGCTGGCCAGGCTTGCGGTGATGTAGCCACTGAAAGATATTTGAAAGAGGGCTTCACACTGGGGTTGAGGTTGTGGAAATGTTGGTTTGGTGGGATGGCTCTGTGCCTCAAAGCGAGGACAGTCTTCAAGATTCCTGCGATGCCGGCGCCTATTTGCCACGGTGGATTAGTTTCTGGGGTCTTTTAAAGTGAATCAAGATTTGCTTACATCCTTCGGTGTGACCAATGACAGTCTTTATTGACCCAACAACGAGCTTTGGTCTATTACTGTGGTCCTGTTCGGGCGGGAAGAACGTGGTAGCAATAGCGAATGCTTCTCTAGGATCTCCAGCTTGGGTACCAGTTCCTGAAAGCCGCAAATATTAATACCTTGACTGCCAAGAGGTTCTGCATACTTGTGACTTGCCGTGTGCTTCAATGTATTGTGGGAGGTCCTCTGCCTTCGTGAGGTCGAGGCCGGCATTTTTGTACGCAGTTCTCATGAGTGAAACTTGGGCCTCAGCACTAGGTAACGCGATACCCTGTGTTCGCCCATCGGAGTTGACACATGTTTCTCGGAGGAGCGCGTCAATCCGATCTCCGTCGCGTAACGCCTGGGACAATGTCTTCATGAAGAAGACGCAAACGCCCTCTCCACGCGCGTAGCCGTCAGCAGCTACATCCCACATTTGCGACCGTCCGGTGGGCGAAAGCAAATGAAGACTTGTCGCGGCAAGGTAGCAGTCTGCATTGAGAATGATATTCGAGCCGCCCACGCAAGAGATTTTACACTCGCCGGCACGTAAGGCCTGGACACCAAGATGCACGGCTGCCAGACTCGACGAGCAGGCTGTGTCAACGCTGATAGATGGACCCTTCCAGTCGAAAAAATAGGAGAGCCTATTGGACAGGAGGGCGCGAGATGTTCCGGTAATCATGTACTTGGAGACGTTCTCGATGTCTCGTAGCTGGGTATCCGTGTAATCGGCCGACATGGCGCCCATGTAGGCTGAAGTTTTGCTGCCTCTCATTCCCTGCAGAGTAAGTCCTGCATTTTCCATGGCTTCGTACACCGTCTCAAGCAGAAGCCTCTGTTGCGGATCGATTGACTCCGCTTCGCGCGGCGGGATGCTAAAAAAGCTGGCGTCGAAATGCCGCGGATCCTCCTCGATGAAGTATGCGTTGCTGGCATTACTAGCTCCATGATGTTCACCATCGACGTTGTAAAACCCCTTGGCGTTGAATCGCGATTCCGAGGGAACCTCTCTCGTGAGATCCCGCGGCGAGTAGAGCAAGTCCCATAACTTTGAGGGAGATGTGGAATCACCGGGAAAGCGACAGCCGCTTCCAATGATCGCGATAGGCTCTTTTGGTGAGTGTGTGTAAACCATCGCGCCTAGGATAGTGTGCAACGGAATGCAGGGTAGACGAACTTGAAAATCGTGATAGATCTAGTGAGGGTTTATCGCCATATTGTTCTTAGCCTTGGTGCCCTCGTGTTGGACAGGCTCCATATCGCACAAGCAGCCCCGTCGGACCATGCACGGCGTAAGACTTCGCAACAGAGGCGTCTGTCTCAGCTTTCGGTCATCCGACCGATCCCGATTTACTTCCACATCATTCTGTGCGGTAAACGCCATACACTGAAACTGTGGCATCGGACAAAATACGCATAACTTCGTTCTTCCACTAATATTCATTGTAGATCCCAGAGTTATGATTGGTCTTCCCGGCACCGAATTCGGGAGCTTGCCCAGGTGAGCTAGTTATAGCACCGAATCTACAAACCAGTGAAACACCGTTTCTCTGTATTCAATCGCGGAATAGAGGACTCAGGTTGCTGTTGAATGATGCTAGGTGTGGATTACGTGGAAATCGAAAAAGATACGAACTTCAGCTACCATAGCATCCAGATCCTGCGCATTTTCCACAGCGCCCCAGCATCATCTCGAGAAGTGCGGCGAGGCCAGGAATAACACGGAAATTTTGCATGCTCAACGAAAATAATGGCAACCATCCACAAGCTCTTCAAGTCGCCTTTTTTCGACTTCGAGTTCCTTCGTCTACTGGCCATGGCGCCACACGAAGGGGCCGAGATCGGGGAAGCTCTAGAAGCAGCGTCCAAGATCAAGGACCAAGATCCAGAGTCATGGTACAGCACGCTCCTTGAAACCGGCAATAAGGCGGAATCATAGCGAAAGAAGCAGAGGCCTCTGGAGATCAAGTCAGTGCGCGACGGGCGTACTTGCGCTCGTCGAATTACCTTCGCGCAGCACAATTCATGCTCAATGAAGGCCCCATCGGATATGACCAAAGAATCCTTCCAACCCTCGAACGAGCCATCGGCAATTTCAGAAAGGGTGTGCAGTATCGGGACGGAAAGACAATATTCTTGGAGATTCCATACGAGGATGGGATCAAGTTACCCGGTTATCTCTACCTGCCTCCTCCTTCCAAGCGCGTACCTGATCGGAAGATCCCCATCCTACTCAACTCGGGCGGAGGCGATTCCACTCAGGAGGAAATATACTTTGTGAATCCAGCGTACGGGCCGGATGCAGGTTATGCAGTCCTCACCTTCGAGGGGCCCGGTCAAGGCATTGTCCTCCGTCGCGACAAGTTGCCCATGCGCCCAGACTGGGAAGCTGTCACAGGTCCCGTCTTGGATCATCTCTTTGGCCTGGCTGCTCAATATCCCGAGCTTGAGCTAGACCTGGACCACATTGCTGTCACTGGCGCTTCAATGGGGGGATACTTTGCACTCCGTGCAGCTGCAGACTCTCGCATCAAGGCATGCGTAAGCGTGGATGGATTCTACAGCCTGTCAAGCTTTGTGGGAGGCAGGATGCCAGGGCCACTCTTCAACGGCTTTATGAGCGGTTGGATCACCGACGGCATGTTCAATGGAATACTCAGCTTCCTAAAGAAACTTGACTTCCAGGCAAGGTGGGAATTTAACCATCTGAAGTGGGCTACTGCATCCAAGACAGATGCGGATATTATGCGTAGCTTCGGGGAGTACACCTTGCAGAATGCAGATGGCACACAGTACCTGGCTGGCGTGAAATGTCCAACTCTTGTGACAGGGGCAGGGGGGAGCTTCTATTTTAACCCAGCTACCACAACAGACAAGATTTATGAGTGCCTCACTAGTCTCAAAGACGGCGTGGACAAGGAAAAGTGGATTGCGACAGATGTAGCGCGTGGAGGCCTACAAGCCAAGATAGGTGCTTTTGGATATTCGGCTCAGAGAACTTTTGAATGGCTTGATCAAAGGTTTGAAATTGAAAGGAAGCCTTTGACGGCCAGTTCAGACTTGGGGGACTTGGTTTGCAAGCTGTGCTAGTGGTTATCGCACCCGGCATTTGATGATGGCCGGGACTACTTTGATACTATGTAGTACTTGTTATAAATTCGACGAGAGTGACCGTTCAGTACCTAGTTAAATGTTCACCCCTCATAGACAATTTTAGGAGAATTACTACTCTATCATACCGCTATTCGGCGAACAAGAAGGCCCAAAAAACATCGGCGAGACCCCAGCTCAATTTTGCTCAGCTATGTGGATTCGAGAATTTCCTTATCACACATCAATATGACGACAAGTACCGCCTGCACCGGAAAATGGTTCACCAGGAGATCGGGAACTAAAGGACTCTCTGCCGGTTTTCGCCCGCTCCAAGAGCAGGAATCTCTTCGATTCGCCCTTCAAACTTTCAATCGACCTGATGATATCTTGGACCACTTGAAAACGTGGGACCTACTTATCTATACCTCTTTGCTTGTACATAATGACTTATTACTTGGTAGTTTGGCTGCTTCCATAGTTCTGAAGGTTACATATGGCTACTCAATTGAACAAAATGGCACCGACCCATTGGTTGGGTTGATAGAGCATGCGATGAAGAACCTGTCTCGGGCGTTCGTGCCACTCTCCTGGGCCATTTACTCGGTTCCTGCTATCAAGTATCTTCCTGACTGGTTTCCTGGAATGTCATACAGAAAGACTGCACGGGAATGGAAAGCCGTCAATGAGGCCGCTGCCGAACTTCCCTATGAGTTTGTCAAACGTCAGATGATACATAAAGCCCATCGGCCTTCATATGTCTCCAATCTTCTCGAAAGTACCTGGCAAAGTCGGACAGTGATGGGATCAAGTTGTCCCCAGCCGATGAAGAGGCTATCAAATGGACAGCCGTTAGCCTCTATGCTGCAGGCTCGGACAGCGCAGTCGCCATCATCCACAGTTTCATATGTGGTCTCGTCATGTTCCCTGATGTTGTAAAGAGAGCACAGAAAGAGATCAACGGAGTCGTGGGTCCGGATAGGCTTCCAGACTTCGATGATAGCATCAACCTTCCTTATGTTGACGGCATTATCAAGGAAGCCTGGCGATGAAAGCCCGTTGGACCCATGGGCTTAGCGCATAAATCCGAGGAATATATAATGTACGGCAACTACCTAATTCCTAAAGGTTCTTATCTTCTGCCATCTCTCTGGTGGTTTTTGAACGACCCCAAAGAGTACCCAGATCCAAGTGAAATTGCTTTTGGTTATGGCCGAAGATCTTGTGCTGGTCGTTTCTTTGCGGATCAAAGCGTCTATATCACAGTATTTCAGCTCTTAGCCGCATTTGACATTCGAAAGGCTAAAGATGTTCATGGCAACGAGATTCCGGTCGTTCTTAAGGCTATTCCTGGAATGGTTAATCGCTCTGCTCCCTTTGAGTTCAAGCTCGAGCCTCGGAGTCAACATCATATAGAGCTTCGTCGCATTGAGTCTGAGCAGCCACCTGAGATTAGCCATGCGAGCTTATTTAACGTGAGTACAGTCTGAAACTTTTGAAGGGAATGACAGACATCTATAACACTGGTGTTCAGATTCAATAGTAAAATCTCTAATCCGAATTTACAATTTGTGACAATGATAGTAATAAAACACATATGGACAGTCACTACGCATAAATCTTAACCTTGGAACACCCACCTGGGCGAGGTTCCAGATTGATAAACTAATTTCCTCACTCTGCCCCAAAGAAATTTTCATTTCAGAGAGCTCGAGGTAAATATCCAGCACCGGTAGTCACTCTTGCCAGTTCATTACCTGGGCACCGGAGCCGCCCCGTTAGGTCTTCGGCGGTGGAGAAAAGTCGGCGATGAATATGAAATTGGTGTCAAGTACCGAACGAACACATGCATGGGCTGACGGCATGTGCTATTGCATTAACGAGTCCACTTATTGACTAATATGACAAGCTAAAATGAAAATTCGCTATCCAGTCCTTAGAAGCAAAAACCCTACCATATGGGGTGACTGTCATTGTGTCCATTCACTCAATTATTGAACGCGACCCTGGAAAATGGATTCCACTTTCCCTATTCAGACCTACTTCCAAGACGAAGCTCTCCGACAGAGCCTGCAAAATCCAGAGGACTTCTGGTCACGACAAGCCCAGCGCCTCCACTGGCACAAGAAACCTGACGCCGCAATCCAGAAGGGCCAGAAGACCCACCCAGATGGCACCACCCGCCCAACATGGGAATGGTTCCCGGGTGGTGAGATATCGACATGCTACAACTGTGTGGACAGACACGTAGCCGCGGGAAACGGACACGAAATCGCGATCTACTATGACAGCCCCATCACGAATACAAAGGACAAAATCACATATGATACGCTCCTCAGTGAAATCGAGACGCTGGCCGGGGTGCTGAGAGAACAAGGAGTGAAAAAAGGCGATGTTGTCATGTTGTATATGCCCATGATCCCAGCTGCTTTGATTGGGATGCTTGCAATCAATCGCTTGGGTGCCATTCACTCCGTCGTGTTCGCAGGATTTGCGCCAAACGCCCTTGCCCAGCGACTTGGGGCTTGCAAGCCAGATGTTTTTCTCACGGCGTCTTGCGGAATTGTCGGGAACAGGCCGCCAATCGCGTATCAACCATTCGTCAAGGAAGCGATGAGGCTTTCATGCCACAAGCCTTCACATACAATTGTATGGCAGCGCGACCAGTTGGAATGGCGCTTTCAAGAGTCTTCACGCAGTTGGTTACAAAAGTTATGGTGTTGGGTCCAGACATTCCTCCGTCTTCGCACAAAAGCCAGCACAAAGCAATCATCCTGGCAAGATCTCGTGGAGAACGCTGGTTCGCGTGGTATTCGAGCAGATTGCGTCCCGGTGGAAAGCAGCGACCCTATTTATATCATGCATACCTCTGGTACGACAGGAGCACCAAAGGGCGTGCTGCGGGATTCGGGAGGCCATGCTGTTGGCTTACAGCTTACCATCGAGTATATCTTCAATATTCGCGGCCCGGGGGATGTTATCTTTGCGGCATCAGATATCGGTTGGGTGGTGGGGCACTCTTACATCCTTTATGCGCCATTACTAGCCGGAGCGGCCACTGTTTTGTATGAGGGCAAACCCGTGGGAACACCTGATACGTCAGCATTTTGGAGGGTCGTAGACGAGTATAAGGTGAATACCATGTTCGCGACACCAACAGCGCTACGGGCTATCAAGCAAGACGACCCGAATAATACGAAGTTGTCTGAGTACGGAGAGCGTGGAGGTTTGCGATCCTTGCAAGCCTTATTCCTCGCTGGCGAACGTTCCGAGCCAATCCTGATATCCATGTACCAACAATTACTCGACAAGGACGGCGGAAGAAATGCACATGTCATTGATAATTGGTGGTCAACCGAAGCAGGGTCGCCGATAACCGGCCGAGCTATTGCGCCTCATCTCGAGTTGAAGGGCGAGACTGCAAGAAAGACATGTATCCCTCCAGCAAAACCAGGAAGCGCTGGAAAGCCGTACCCAAAAAATTGGAATTGAATCGCTTCAAATAGCTGCTGTAAAACCTCTCCTCATCCATCCAGAGCGTCCTGAATGCCGTCGGCCCAAGAGGTAGTGTCAACACGATATTACCCATCGATCCTCGTGGTATTTCGTTACCGTGCTCATCCACGACTCGAACATCAAACCCTGGCACTGGAGATGCGGGATGGATTGATCACGATGGCTATGTTCATGTGATGGGTCGAAATGACGATGTCCTGAACGTTAGCGCGTATCGACTGTCAAGCGGTTAGCTCCAATCCCCGTTTGAACTTCTTCCCCGTTGCTGATCTCATGATATGGTTTAGGTGCTATCGAGGAAGCGATATCTTCCCATCCCCAGGTAGCTGAATCATGCGTGGTTGCTGTCCCAGATGGACTGAAAGGTCAACTTCCATTCGCATTCATTTCTCTATCAGTCCCAGATCACCCAGAGTCTGCCATACCAACTGCAACAGTCGCAAGAGAAATACAGTCGCTCGTCCGGACTCGCGTTGGGGCATTCGCTTCCCTGAGAGGTATAGTACAGGGCAAGGGTATGATACCGAAAACAAGGTCCGGTAAAACATTACGACGTGTTCTTCGGGAGTTGGTGGAAAATGGAGTGCACGGTGAATTTGATCGCAGTGTTGATGTGCCAAGTACAGTCGAGGATGCAACGGCGGTGCAAGTCGCAAGAGCCAAAATTCGAGAGTACTTCAATAAGAATATGGGTAGACATCATGCAATCGAGTCAATGGCTATGCCGTGAGGTTTCCAATGTTCTGAATCGCAAAAAGGTAGCCCCGTCGGGGATAAGAAGAGATAGTGACGGATATGTACCACAAGCATATACAATAGAGACAACATTGAAGCTAAGGACACTATACTAGATGAGCGAAAATCAGGCTTTTGTGCCAGAGAGGCTGGTGATTTCGAGACACCGTCTCTAGCCCTGTGCTGATTTCTGGAGACTCGTTGTTCTTCCCAGGAAGAATCGCCTCCGCCAATACATGATGAAGGTCGCGCTCAGAGAGGATCATGTAGTCCAAGGCTCTCAACGTAGAGATTACACTGTCTGCACCTCCACCTTTATTAATGTTCTGGATAGACCCGAGCCCTACTGTAGAACCGAGGTTGATAACAGAGGCACAGAGGTTCCGAGCTCTTCTTTGGGCTGCCAAGCCGGTCATGAACAGTGACATGATCAGCACATCGCGATCCACAATTCAGAGAACTTACACTATTAGCAGCATCGTGGTTCGCCTGGAATGGCTGTCCAACTAAGGCCGATATTGAGGAGAATAAGAGAAAGAATCCAAGATCATCATCAGAGAAGACCTCGTCGAGAATCAGGGAACCGTCGACTTTAGGCTTTAGTACTTTCTGTAATGTGTCGTATGTCAGATCAGGAAAGTAGCAATTAGACTGAATCGCCATTTGCTACACCCCCGATAGGAGGCATGGTGCTAATAATGTGGTTGCGTAGGTTAACCACATCTTCCCTCTTGGTGACATCTGTTGCTTTGATCAGAATGTGGCAACCTCGCTCTTCTAACTCCTCTTGCCAACGTTCGCTGTTTCCAGCGTGCCTATTCTTATTAATATTTATTTCATATGGAGTTCCTGTATGTACGGACCGACCTGTAATCACGAAGTAGCGGGCACCACAGCGTACCATCCACCTGGTGATAGACTGTCATATTTGTCCACTAAGGCCAACAAGAACATATGCCCTAGCAGGGAAAAAAGACTGGAGGAGCAAGGGAGAAGAGTAGATGTGCTACGTTTCCACTCGGGAAGACCGTTATTGTTCAATAAACACATCGAGGGGTCGAGATGATCGTTTCGCTGCTGATCAAGAAGCACACGTGGAATGAAAAGACCCGATTGCTCTGGTTCGACAGTCCACAATCTATCGAGCCACCCCGGAGAGGATAACTACTGACCTTAAGATAAACAGTTCTTCATTCCAAATCAATTCAGTCTCCTCACACTCCTTCGCCTCGGTTCCCTTTTGCAGATAACTCTCAGTGCCATCCTTCCCCTCCGTTACTCCGCAATTCCCTGTGTGACCATTCTCCTTATCTCCATTTTCACCACGATCGGACAATGCCTCAAACCGAAGACAAATAATTTCATGTCCGACGTTGTTCCCGGACGAGCCACAGCTCAAATTCCGAGCAAAAATGGAAAATACGGCCCCGGACCGGGGAACGGCTCGGTGGTAGTGTTCCACCTCGGGATACAATACAATCACCCTCTGAGAGTTTTGCCCCGCACATGCTCGAGATCTCGAAAGGATTTCTGGCCATGCAGAGGATATCATTCGCCGAAAGGATGAGCTTGGACTTCTGGCTGTTCAGAACTGGCGAGGCAATGAACGCAACTCCAACAACACGACACTCGTTAAATATTTCTTCAGGGATGTGGAGAGTACCCGGAAATTCGCTCATGAACCGCTACATAAGGAGACTTGGGCATACTATAACCAGCATAACCCAGGTCACATTGGGATCTTCCACGAGACGTTTACTATAAAAGACGGATATGAGAGTATGTATGTAAATTGCCATCCAATTCTGCTTGGACAAGGCGAAATGAAGGGAAATAGTCGGAAGGACAGCGCAGAACGGTGGATGGGGACGCTTGTCGATGCTGATACGCCAGGCTTGAAATCATTCAAAGCGAGATTGGTAAAGATGCTTGGGACTCGAAATGATGCCCATTTTCGATTTCCAGCGGGTACCACAGGGATCTTTTCAGTATATACACACTGCAGAACCTGTTTGATGAAGATGATCGGGATTTACATAATTCGAATGCGTTCGGTGACCATAAGACACGCGGACGCCGGATGCACCAGTTACGCGGATGCGCAGGCTAATGGTCCTTTTCACTTGACCGTTCTGACCAGCCCCGACTTCCAGTTTCTTATGTTGCCTTCTTTTGGCTGGAATCGCCATTTGCAACATCTGGTATTGGGATAGGGCCGCCGGGAGAGTTCTCTAGCCTCGCCGTCAAAACCTCGACGCCTGTTTCGGTGACGAGCATAGTGTGTTCTACGAATCTTCCGGTTAATACCTAAAATTTTTAACTACCCTCTCAAGAATCTGGACATACCGAATTGTGCGGCGCGTTTGCCGTCCACTGTGACATTTGTCCAGTCATCTGGCCAATACATTTCTCGGTCGGTGCCCAGCGTCAGAATAGGTTCGATAGTGAATGTCATCCCAGGTTTGCATGTTCCAACAGCCTTGTTCTTCGCATAGTGGGGAATCCAAGGAGGAGGGTGGAATTCCGAGTTAATACCGTGACCACCCCAAGTCTTAACAACTGTAAGGCCTCGAGACGTTGCGTGCTTCTCGATGATTTTCCCAAATTCTCGAATTGGTGTACCGGGTTTGATGATAGCAATAGCCATATCGAGTGCCTCTCGCGTCGTCTCAATTAGTCTAATCGCGTCCGGGTCGGCCTTAGCCTTATCGCCAATGTAGTAGGTCTCGTTCAAGTCGGCATGATACCCGCCGTGGTATAGAGAAATGTCCAGGTTGAGAATGTCGCCATCAAGAAGGATTCGCTGATCAGGAATACCGTGGCACACAATCTCATTCGGAGAAGTACATAACGACTTAGGAAAGCGGTTATAGTTGAGGGGAGAAGGATACGACTATCCTCCGTCTTAGCGAAAACCAGGTTAGTTAAAAGTAGAAGAAATTCCGCTCACCTGTCGCTCAACACAGGCATTATGGCAAATTTCGTCCAGGTAATCAGTGGTTATGCCGGGTTTCAGCGCTGCGGCAGTGATGTCTAGGACCTCTCGAGCCAACCTGCACACCTTGCGCATGCCCTCCTGGCCCTTCATATCTAAGAGGTCCCATTTCGATCTGCTGAGCCGCATCTCACGCTTTGGAATACCTGTCTCGGCCCAGTCGGGATGCTTGATCGACTTTGGAACAGTTCGTCGCGGAGACAGTGGGTACACGGGTCTAACACTACCGCTAAACGGATATGCTAGAAAGGGGTTGTAGAGCCCGCTAGCTACACGGCGATTAGTGTCTAACGTAACATAAATGGTGCGAAACCACCGTAGACGAGGTGCTTACCACTTTTTGTTTTGTGGATGTTAGCCTTATGCGTGCTCTAGATACCGGTCAATATAAGATTCTGGGTGGGAAAACTTCCCCGCGAGGATGCGACTTACCCAGTTCCTTTTGAAGCAGTCCTGGGCGCAGAAGTAGCTTCCTTTGATACCCAGCTTTAGGCATGTTGGACACTGCAAGGACCCAGCTTTGTTGTTGCAATCGGCTCCCGAGCACTTATTCTCGTGATCGGACATTGTGAGGGCAATTTGAGTACAGCCCTCCGACAAGTCGAAGCAGCTCGAGATTGGTGCAGGATGCTTGATCAGGGTGTGGGGAAAAGAATTGTTGTGAATGGAAGTTGTCAGGTTTGAGGCTACTACAAAGAAAGAGGTAACCGTGGGACAGTCATACACGTGACCTTGTCGCCCTAATCGTGATTGGGTACCAGTCAAATTGTGGGCCCAAGCGGAGACTAGGGCCTAGATAGTATGTATACCGCTGGAGTGACAATCGGACGCTCCGATTGTGATGATCTTTGGGCCTAGGTAAGTCAGCGTGAGAATTACGCACATACCGTACACGGTATTTCTCTACTCCGTGTTAACTCGTCGAAACCGAGGTATTTAACTAAGTGGGTACTTGAGCCGAGCCGACCGTTTTGAATCGAGGCTAGTGAATCTTCAATCTGCATTTTGTTTCAATACCAGTCAGGCATCTAATTATCTCCAGATTACCGTGGGAGGTTTATTTTGGATAAAGCTTGAGTAAATAATCTCATGGAGGGCCTGGAGAGTTACCCCAGCTAGCGCTTACAGCCTTAGGTTGCCTTGCGAACAAGCCAGTGCCCCTTAAGTGGGACTGCATTAAATACCACGCCAGACTTTTGTAGGACCTAGCGCATGATCTCGAGGCATTACTCCGTACAGTTTCAAAAGCAACCTCGCCCATGTTACTCGGCCATACTGAAGGATACGGTATGGTAAGTGGTAACACGCTGTAATAAGACAACGAGTCTAGACTTCAGTGTGGTATTATAGATCTAATATATATTATGTACGCATGTGGGTAGCAGTTCGGTATTGTTTGAAATCAGTTGGCTGCGGAACAAGACTACTAGACACAACAAATATCTCAAGTTTCTTTATTAATTGTCAGGCTGGGATGACACCCCCGGCCCACCTGCCTAGGCGCTGGTTTTTGTTTTGGTCAAGTGGTAAAGTATGCCGTATTCTTTTCCGCACATTAAACCAGACGCGGCTCAATAGAGACTAAAAGTGTCACCAAAAGTTACAGGCTAGCAAGAAATGCAGCATAGCGGATCAACCCGAGTCTCTCGCTGAGGCCTCATGGAAGGCCCTCAACGACAGTGGATAAGGTGGCGCCCAAAATAGAAAGAAAAGCTGGCACATTCACCAAAAGAGTGCGTGTGCGGTGTTTGGGCAGCCATTCCTCAAGCGCGTCTTCATTCGGGACTCCGGCAGACTTGACAGCCCCAATGCGACCAAGAATCGCAAACATTGTGGGACCCCAGCAAAAATGAGCGAGGCTGAAAAGTGCGCCAGCAAGATAGAGATTGCGAGTCTCTCGGCTCTGACGGCTGAGGCCATTCACCATGCAGAGTACGGTGGCAGAGGGATAGGTTAGCGAGATGCCCCAGATACCAGGGCCCATGAAAGCGGGCAGGTATCGCGGGAGAATTTTGCCACTGGGGTGGGCTGCATCTTTACGTAGAGAAGGGTGTAAAAAGGCACCGAGAGAGATGTCTTGTGACCAGCTAAACATCAACGACGCTGATGACACAACCAGTGGAGTGATGCGAAGAACGGCTGTTCCCAGGTCAGAGGCATTGTTCGACCCAAGCTGCAGCACCATCGTAAAATTTGTGGATAGCGATAGTGCAACGGAATGTGGTTCAAAAGTAGGCGACCCGAATATTGAGCATTACACACATTTAAAGAAGCATTCAACCTCAGACCCATTGGGCGAAATTGGCGTCAAAGTTACCTATCTAGGTAGGTAATGCAGGGAGTGGTGGCCAATGAGGCTAGGGAAACCGTGGAGTGGAATCGCCTCGGCGTGGCTTGAACCTGTCAAAAAGCACACAAATGGGGCCTGCTATAAGACTTGCATAATGCCAGGTTCGCAGATTCGGCGAGGATTCCGCATTGAGCTTCGATTCGGCTTTCGGCCAAAGAAATATCAGATAGTATGCGGGTACTCGGTCATACCTCAAACGGTTCGGGAAGACTCTCGGGATTAATTCGACCTAACTCCCCGATGGCAGAATTGGTCATTCACCGGAGAGACAGTCGTAAGCAGTTTGGATTCAAGGGTGTGTGAATCGCAGCAGATAGTAGCCCGGGCAATCAACTCCGCTTTCCATTATTCCTGATACCCTTTTTGTCCCTCAGATCTATACTCCACAGTTACAGCCACGATAAAGTGATTGACCATGAGTAACCTCAGTCCAGACTATGATGCTATCGTCATAGGCGCAGGCTTCAGTGGTGTTCGCATTCTCTGGGAGCTCGATCGACTGGGTTTGAAAGCAAAGTGTTTCGACGCTGGGTCAGATGTAGGAGGAACTTGGTGGTGGAATCGATACCCTGGGTGTCGGACGGATGGTGAAGCTTGGGTATATGCTTTGAAATTTTTGCCAGAGCTACTGGAGGAATGGGAATTTACAGAGCGTTATCCAACACAAGAGGAGATTCAATGGTATCTCAGCCGCGTCGTTGATCGTTACGATCTACGCAAGAACATTGAGTTCGGCACACAAGTCAAATCCGCCCACTACAGCGATCGGGACAATTTGTGGACAGTTATTACGACGAGCGGCATCATTGCCACCTCGCGATATTTCCTTCCTGCCACTGGCATCACGTCTATCCCCAAGGAGCCATCTTTTCCTGGACTTCAGTCTTTCAAAGGGGAGATATATCAGACTTCAATTTGGCCAGAACATGAAGTCGACTTTTCAAACAAGCGAATCGGTGTGATTGGGACAGGTTCGACCGGCATTCAAATCATCACCAAGCTTGCCCCCATTGCCGAGCAGTTGACTGTTTTTCAACGAACACCAAACTATGTTCTCCCCCGCGCAGAACTATCCACTGGACCAAGAAAAAATAATCGCTATCGAAGATGGATTTGATGAGAACTGGGATATTGCCAGAATGAACCTGGCCGGCCACGCCGTCAAACATTCGGGGAGAACGGTCGCGAGCATCGCCGATCCAGAGGAGATTCGCCGTGGCTTTGAAACTGGCTGGTCTCGGGGTTGTTACGATTTCCAGCTCGGCACATTCGACGACTCTTTCATGGCTCCGGACTCCAATTTGGCCACGGCAAATTTCATCCGTGAGAAAATTCGCTCCATTGTCTCTGACCGTGATACCGCCGAGACTTTGTGCCCAAAATATCCCTTTGGTGCAAGACGCCCACCATGTGCAGATGGATACTACGAGACATTCAATCGATCTAATGTCACGCTGGTCGACGTCAGCAAGGATGAAACCGGCTTTTACGAAAAAGGCATCAAGACTGCGTCCGGGGCGGAGCATGAGCTCGACATGGCCATTCTGGCACTGGGCTTCGACTCGGGTACAGGAGCAATGAACAAGATCGACATCAGGGGAAGCAAGGGTGTGTCGCTGAAGGGATCTTGGGCGAACAGACTGGAGACATTCGCAGGTGTCCTGGTCCATGGTTATCCAAACATGTTCATTGTCTGCGGTCCTCACTTGCCCGCAGGCAATCAGCCTGTCAGTTTGGAGGCATTCGCAAGCTGGATCGGCAAGACCATAGAGCACATGGAAGTCAATGGCCTATCTAAGATTGATGTTTCCAGAGATGCCATGGATTCATGGACAACACATGTCGAGCAATTATGGGCTGGTTCCTTCCTGGCTCAACATGCTCACGAGCTGGGCTCTTGGTTTGTCGGTACCAATATTCCTGGCAAGCCATCCAGAATTATGTTTTACTTCGGTGGCATGGTACATTTGGAGCCTTGGCTTATCAAGGAACTAGAATCTCAGTGGTCGAGTATGACATTCACCGCTTTTGAAGGGGCTAGGAAGGCTAGCAATGGTGTGTGCAAACAAACCAGCACAGTAGGCGGAGTCTACGTCACACCTGAAATGCTTGAGTCTGTCAATATACCTCTTGAAGCTGATAAGGCTGGTATGACTCTTGCGGAGAAATCCGATTTCGTCAATGCTGCTACTTCCTTTTACATTGACGCCGCCGTCAACGACATGAGGAGACGTGGACTCACCCCTAAGGATGATTACCGTGTTCACTGGTGGAAGGTAATGGAAGATTTTGTTGACTCGGACGAGGGTCAAAGGATAGTTCAGGGGGCACCGCTGACGAAAGAGGGAGTCGAAAGTCTGGTCTCCAGGCTAGGAATCGAGGGCGAGTTGATCGCAAGAATGGGCCCGGAGATTGTAAACATCCTGACTGGGAAAACCCATCCTCTTGCACACATCATGAAGGACAATTTGCTCTTCCGAGTGTATCTGTCCGATGAGGGCAGGCGTACCAATCGCTACGTGGCGGAGTATGCCAACCTTCTCACCTCGCAGAGAAGAGGTCTCAACATTCTCGAAATTGGCGCCGGAACAGGAGGCACCACTTCCAAAGTTTTGAATCTATGCAGCCCGGATGGCAGCTCATTTTGCGCTAAGTACATGTACACGGATCTCTCACCAGGATTCTTCGATGTTGGGAAAGCAACTTTCAAGAAATGGGATTCTCTCCTCTCTTTCAAGGTTCTAAACATTGAGGAGGATCCGGCGAGCCAAGGGTTCGAAGGACACACATATGACTTCATCATTGCTGCAAACGTCATTCATGCCACAACACGTTTAACAACGACCTTGACCAACGTACGCAAGCTACTAAAGCCTGGCGGTGTCTTGGGTCTTGTAGAACTGACAAGGTTGACTCCTTTCTATAACCTGTCATTCGGTCCACTCTCAGGATGGTGGGCTGGTGTTGATGAGGGTAGAACGAAGAGTCCCCTGCAGTCCCCCGAGCAATGGGACGACTTGCTCAAACAGACTGGCTTCTCTGGCGTCGATCTAGCTGCTTACGATCTTCCTAGCCCACAGAGACATAGCTGTGTGTTGCTATCGACTGCTCTGGTGGATTCGGCGACCCGTGGACATTGATTTCGTTTTTATGACTGAGTTAACGTAGGTTCAGATTATATTCGTACATATCTAAATTTTTCAAGTCTAATCCACTTCACATGGATAGCAATTAGGCTTCAATCAGGCAAAATCATAGACCGGTAAAGCTGTCGATTTTACGTCTTCGTGTCTATATGAAATTTTGGTCTTGCGAGCATCTGTCAATAATGTAATGACGCCAACATGTATGTGTCAAGAAACAGGATTGTCACATTGATCAACCGTGCCAAGCCCACCAGCCGGTGGGTCGCACTGGATCCCAAAACTGGATCCTAAAACTGCAAATATGTATCTTTTGTATGGCGGCTCTATACAAAAGGTACATAACCATAATGTGAGCATAACTCAACTCCCAAACTAGGTAAAGGAAAAGTACAGAGGCTAAGTTATAATATGAGTGTAGTCCAGTGGACCCGCTACTAAAATTAATTCTAAATATATGATATAGAAGCGTAAAGAGCACGTACCTTTTGTATGGAGTTACCATACAAAAGATACCTAATTTTTTCCAACTTTGGGAGTGAGGCCCACTAACGCGGGTGGTGGACTTGGCCCCGTTACCTGGTCTTTTACCGGTAACACAATTGACCTCGGGAAAGTCCAGGGGTCCACGGGTCCACCCGTGGACAAATGTCTCCAAAGTTGTTTTGCTTATTACCTACATAGGTAATCTGTCCGCACAACTTCGGAAGCTGTAAAATCGGACCACTTGTTATTTTTCGCTTAGTGTATTTACTAGCCGTATTTACTAGCCATTGAAAACCATGCACTTGGGCCCAGTACTTCTATCAGCATGTGAGCTACCTGTTCCCGAGCTAATCGTACTGAATGCCGTAATTACAGGTAACGAAGAGAGCACCGAAAGCCCCCACAAAATCGGTGCTCGGTCGTCTATGCAGCCGAGCGCTGATCCGGGGGAGCCTGATCTACGTCTTACCTCGGAAAAAAAGAAATTAATAAATATTGAAGTGGATGACTATCTATGAGCGTACGCCTTTTTTTTTCTTTTTTGTGGTTGCCTTACAATGGCGGAGCCAATTCAGAAAAGGCGCCTTTTGCGCATGACAGTAGCGCACTATCGTCAACCCAATGTCAGCGAAGAAGATTTTTATCAATGGGTAACCGAACAGCATGCCGCACATGCAGCTAAACTACATGCCAAGAATGGGATCGAGGGGTTTTCTATCGTGAGTGCAGAATTGGGCATTTCACTGCGACTTATAGTTTCAAGCTAAGCCTCCCCGCAGTTTTTCGCGCCCAAATCCTTCCGTGACTTCACGTCGGAACTTAATCAGATGCGCGGAGGGCCTTGGCGGGTCCGTGATTTTGATGCTCAAGTAGAATTCTTGTTCCGTGACATGGAAACATTCTATAAGGGAGCAGCCGACGCGGATTTCCAAGCTTTGCAGAAAGAAGAGGCGCCTTTTATCAGGGCGAAGGGGCAGAAATCAGTATTGGATGGGTTGAGACGTACGTTAGTGAGGGGAAAGTAATTAATCTCGACGAGACTGGTAAGCCCACTTTCCCGGTCTTCAACGAGATGAGCAAGAGGCCATAACCGAGAATTGTTGGTTTGATGCCTACTAGTTAGTACTTATGTAGGTATGGAAGGCTTTGCAATCTTTGAACCCAAGTCAACAGAATTACTTTGTCACTTTTCCTTATAGGCTATAATGTATTTGAATTATCCGTCATTTCCCATTCAATTTACCATGCGTCACAATACTTACCAACATTATACTAGTGCCTAGAAATATATATTTGACGAGGCTGATGCTCGACATAGACAAGCGAGCTAAACAAAAAGCATGTCAGCAGGTCTCCTACTAGGTACTATCCCAAACTAGATATCCCGTGCTCATAGCATAACACGCTGGAGTGCTAATTTCGAAACACCATGCACCAATTGTAGTATAGAATCCTCATTGGCTTCAATCGCTTGCAATGTCACCTTTGCTACGCTAGAAAGCCCATCGCCCATAGCGGCAACCCTACTCATGGAGCACTTTTCTGCGCCCGAAGAACGCGAGGATCCGGGGACATCTTTAGAGGCGGGTCTCATGCACTCGCTGATCAGCGAGTGCATCTGCATGATGTTCGTCTCCACAATGCACATCAAGACGAGAGATGAAACCGACGAAGTCTTAGAGAACTCGAAAGTACCAACAGCCAGGCCCGGCAACTGAGTCAGCAAATAGGAGCTGCCTTCGCCTTCTTTCAGATTTAAAGCGCTACCTCGGACCCCCATTTTCAGTCTCACCTCTAACCACGCCTTGATGTGCTGTAGAATCTTGTCATAAGACTGAAGAAGGCACATGTAGCTAGAAAGGACAAGTAGCTGCGAAGATTGGTCCAATACGAGCCTCGCTAATCCCTGCGTATCATTTCTTGATCTGCATGACTCGAGCCGAGAGCAGATGCTCGTGAGGAGTTCCGTATATTGACTCGAAAGTTTGAACGTGCGATCCACTGGAAGTTGTGTTTCGCCGTCCGGACACGTCAGAAAATCCTCAGAACTATCCCGTTGGCCGTCTTTCTCTGGTTCAACCATGGGTATCGAATGCATATGCTGGTGCAGCTGCAAATTGGAGTTGGACAATTGGCGGATCCAAGAAGACATATTCGAATGATGTGTTTCCTGAATGTTATTGGAGGCTCTTCCCGGTGTCTCTGGTTGGCTCGCAGCTGCAATTCGGGCTCTTGGGTATCGTCGACATCAGGCGACTGCAGAAGGTCTGAAGGAGACAATTCGTTACCGTACCCCGAATCTGTGCCTGGATTCGGGACATCGCAGCTTCGAGAGTTTCCCCTTCTTTGATCAAGATCCATCATGTTGTCTTCATCCTGGGGCTGATGAGGGGAAAGAGATATATTTCTCCCCAAAGACGCCGAGGGGAAAGAAGGGTGCATCGCGGTCGGCGATGTGAAGTCACACAACTCCTCGGATGAATGCTCGCTCGGAATATCTCCCCAGTGTCTATGTGCCGCTTGAACCACGGTCCTGAGATTTGGAGGACCTTGGGAGTATGACTGATGGGTCATGTGGAGGTTGGGTGCTCTCGCCTCGGCGCCTGCAGGACGATACCGAGCCGCTAATTCTGGGTCAATGTCGGCTCGAAAGGCCGTGGAATCCGATTCAAGATTCAGGTCAGAGGACATATCTAGCATAGTTATTGGTAGATAATTGAAATCGTTCGAGATGCCGTTGTCCACATCATTAGTGCTTTCTTCCTGGGTAGCTGTGATCAGAAGTAAGTCTCGTGTATTTTACCCAGATCCATTGAAGAGCAGCTGCAATATACCGCAGACTTACCATAATTCTGGCTTGCAGTCTCAGCATCCTGATGGGATTGTAAATGTGGCGGGTGGGGGTCCTTGTTGGATTGTGCTCGAGACCGTAGCCTCATCTGTCGAGGAGTACATCGAACGCCTGCCCGAGCACACCGCACACAAGTGCTGCTGTTACTCTCTCTCCTGCAACGTAACTTCTGGCCATGGCAGCGATCGCAGGCTCGATGGGCAAACCCTAGATCGTGCACAAGCATGTTCATTCCACGTCCGGCGGTGTGACTCCGACGTGACTCCGGTTCTGCCCAATACAGCACGGACTCCTACTAATCGGACGAGCCCTGATCGAACAAAGGAAGAGAGGCACAACCGACTTAGAACGGGAACTTAAGAAGCCAACGCTTTTCGGTGATGGATCTAGCTGCTACATTTTTATAACTTTAGAGCTTACTCGGCCATAGGTCAAACGGACCCCTCTTCAAACACTTCGTATTTTTTTACTCGCCTTTTCTACATCAAGAGACAGGAAATGGTTTGCCATTGGACTTGGTGTGCTGGTAGGGACCAGGGTAGCATTGTGGCGTTCGTTTCCCACTTCACGGATTACTAGTGAATACATACTGCGTGGGTGTCGAGAACACGAGGCGAAACATCCCCAAGGCCTCCACACACTCCAACTGAGATTTGCCACGCAATCGTAACTAGGTTTCTGCACTCCAATGCATCACTCTCCTCTGTCAGAGATAATATCTCGCCTATCACAGTCCTTTTTTCTTGTCGGCCGAAGGCGCAGCATTTGGGGCTATCAGGAGGATCCGTTGCGGAAAGGAATTAGACAGTCCGAGCTTGGTATATGATTCGTCGCGGCTGAGGGATCTGCATGAGTGGGTTTACGTGCTGCCGAGGTCGTTAGCAAATCATCTTGTACAATATACAGATTTGTCTGAGCGTGCATGCTTAGCGGGCTTGGCCTGTGGATACCAGCATACTTGGCTCCTGGGCTGATATTTCCTGTGGTTATGTATGTACCCTCTCTGGTAAGAATTCTGTCGACATGGCTCCACCAAGACTAGACTAATTCTTGATAGCGCGGCGCAGTTAAGTCTAGAGCCTGTAATTATTGATTATTATAATATATACTGCTCGGTTGTTAAAAAACGAGAAAAAATACTACTTTAAAAAGATCAGCGAGATCTACATCGATAGAATTCTTACCAGTGGGTGGAGGGGGGTAATATTTAGAATTAACTTTAGCAGGAGATCGACGAAATTAGACTTATTTTGACTACTTTTATTAGCCAGTTCCAGAGTTGAGTTATTTGTGTTCAAGCACGGAGTAACCTGTACTCCGTGCTTTGTACCTTTCATATGTCAAGTCCATACAGAAGATACCTAAGTTGATATCCGGTGGGCCCCGTGCGGGCATGATTATAGCCTCCATTGTCCGTCGTACCAACAACATACAATCCTGTCGTCCTCCCTTGGCATTCTGGGTCTCTACCTCTACCCTCGACCATCACAAGCAAATAATTTTCTCCCGGGGCGGATATTACATAGGCACAGTCGCACCTCATCAAAATCGACCCCACTATTCTGCAACCCTCTATAATTTAGAAAAATCTGGGCTCCTAGATTTTTCCTCCATAGTTACGAGCGCCAAGCCTGCCTAATTAAGCTTAGTACCGCTCTATAACTATTACAGATTTTGTTTTCGAAAGTGGTCTTGAAGGCTTACTGCCCACGTGACCTTTATTATTTCTTAGTTTTATACGGTTTGACATTACTTCCGCCTTTCAAGAGGATGGTCCGCTGGTTTAAAATACCTAAAATGAGGTTATATAATCTAAAGATAGCCCTGGAGGACCCTTGGGACGTAAACAAAAATGCCAAGACTCCCCCCCCCCCCC